AGTACAGTAGCCAATGTAACGCTTCAGTGTCATGCGACTTGGAAGGGTGAGGCACCCAGACCTCCGCAACATTTCGTACCCGCAGGGTGATTTAGCTTGCCACATTATGGCCTGCCTGATGGTCACCTCTTTCCAACGGTGATTTTTCTCACGCAGGCATTGCAATTGCTCCTTCAAAAATTCAGCCTTCTTGTCGTTCTCGTCCAGCATTTCCTGATGATGAAAGGGCAGTTGAAATGCGTAAATCACGCGCAAGATAACATACTGGAAGAAAGCGGAAGTGCAGGGGAGAATGGAAGCTTGACCCGCTGAAACATCGTAGAGCAGGGAATGCCGGCGCATCCAACAATTCGACATTTACGTACTGGACTTGCCCTTGTCAAGACAAGTTTAGATGTTGTGGGAGAGTGAGCAAACGTTCACACACACGCTACTAAAGGAGGCTGTTGCTGTCCTGACAAAGAATAGTGCACCTGATTGTCGAAACCTTGCATTTGGCATCATTCCTTATTCAACAATTCATAATCGCGAGAAAAGATATGCGTTTACTCTTAAGACAATAATAGATGTTTCATGTCACCACGTGGACATTCAATTGCAGCTATGCTACATTAATGAATTGCGCAACTTCAGACTTGCGTCATGTTCAGTAACCGGCCACCGACTCACACATACGGACTAGCGGAAACTGTTCACTTACACTTTCCAAACCATTCCTTCCTTTTTGAATGCAATGCTGCTCGCTCAAGTTTATAAGGCAGACATCACATGTGCGTCAAGCGTGGCTTCCTGTACGAGCATAAACCGATCGGCCCATAGCACCAACACAACACAGCTTGCAAATTACTGTCTTTCCAGTTGTCAGTCCAATGTCCCTAATTGTTTGCGACGACAGAAATTTGAACTCGTTGTTCGCAGGATAAAGGAATAAACTCGGGGTGCGCCAATCACGCAAGGGGGTACACACCGACCTTCGTATCTTAAACACTTGCTCATGTGCGCGCTTACCCACCAACCTTCTTTTATTCCGTGTCCTTATGTCAGGCCTACACCTTCGTATGACCAGAAAGATTGCCAGCATCGGCGTACACTAAAATGTCACGTAAATTTATATGAAGAAGAAAATCTATAAACAGAGTTTCTCTCGAGCAGACATCATGACAGCGGACTTGTCATCCTTAAGGCTATAATTGTATTTCAGTCTTTCAGAAAACAAGCCTGCTTGTCGAAACGCCGCCTCGAAACAACTTTGCTAAAACTACTGATTAAGCGAGTTGGTTCATGATTATTTTCAGTGTTTGTGTGTGTGTAAACAGCGATTAAAGAATGGGAACAACCCCTGTTCACAGGTTTTTTACTGCAAGCTTCCATCCTCCCCTTTCTGACGTTTCTTACAAAAAAGTATAGGGACACTAAGTTAATAGACTGATAAATGAGTACCTGATAATTCTCTATCGTTGCTGTTCCGATCATACGACTATTAGAACAGAAAAAATTAAGACTAGGTTTAATGTTCTGAGTTTGGCGAACAATCTTCGACACGTGCACGTCGCTTTATGTTGCGTCGCTCCTTGTGTACTTGGCCGCATTGGCTGAGAACATTTCTTTGAAACTTGCTACTTCAGACCTTGCATCTACTAACACAGCAGTCTTAGACATTACCTGAGGCCGTCAAAGTATGACGTCACTGCTAGCCGATGCGCGAGAACTTAAGGGTAGCATCGCCACCTTTACAATCTCTTATAGTTTCGAGAATTCCTTCGCTCACCGGACGTCCTCTCGTAGTACGGGTGATGTTGATAGAATTGACTTACTCCTAAATTGTTATTATGTTCAGAGTCATTTAAAATTAAGTGCGAATATAAAAGGATTAATATAACATTCGTCCACTGACGTAACTGCGTACCTGCAGCGTTAGAGCGCCATTCGCCTCGGCGAGGGCTTTCATCTCGAAAAAATCTTTCTTTAGCTTCTCTAGCTGTGAATGCAAATTACTGTTCATTTCTTTCAGCCTGCTGCACTTCCGCCGCAACGTCTTAGTTGCCGCGACCAGGGAGCGCATCTTCTTCAAACCGATCGACGTTTGCGACGTCATGGAGCGCCGCACTGGCCTCTTCTGGTGTTCCCCTTGTATAACTGAACTACAGTCCTCCATGTTGTCCTGACTTGATGGAAAATGCAACCACTCGGCCTCTTGTGCAGTTTCAATTGGGTTTTCAGAACTATATACTTCCCCAGGCTCCGCTGATGCTCGCTCTTCTTGAGAAGAATCTGCGTTGGACGTTCCCCTGTTAAGCCGAAAAAATAGCGAAGCATGACAGATATATTGTCCCGCTAAACGCATAAGGGAATACTGCTAACATTATTCTTATCCGTTGTTGTGTTAGACTTCAAGTTTTACTTACAGTATTTTTACTTGTATGGGTGCCAGCGTTGTTTCCCCCTGCGTTCGTTTTAGCCGCTTTTTCCGCGGCATTGGATCTTGCCCACGTGGATCAGGAGAAGCGGGAAATAAGGAAGGCACGGCTGTGGGCTTCAACATCTTCCTTTTCGTCACTGTTCTGTAATCTTCAGCGGTAAAATGCAGGCTGCATACCTTCGACCGGTCGCTGGGCTCCCAGCGATGCTTTCCTGAACCTTCATCAAAGGTAAAGGCGTATACGCATGGCTAGCAAGATTGCAAAATAACAGTCCATAACACCTTTTTTGTAATTAATTTTTCCAAAATGTAACAAGCCAAATGGGGAGGTTAAGAAAAAGCATAGCCACGATTTTATTCTGGGGAAGTACCTGTATACCCATTTAGTGCATTTTCATATTTTCTCGCAGCCTTTGTAAATGTCTTTTTAGATGACTACATTCGTCGATTGATGTTTAGTGATGGTACGTGGTCGAGTCCAGTGGCATACTTGAAGCCCTTTATTCGAAGAGCTCATTGGCTATACAAGGTTTCATAACAAAGCTGAATTTCCTAATGGCTGCTCAGTAACGAAGCGCGACCCAATACGACAGAGCCGAAACCGAGGCGCACTTGAGCGCCTTGGTCTTGGTTTAGAGCGCAAACCTCTAACCTGTACAATGACTCCGCCGTTGACGACGATGACTTCAGTGGTTTTTGTTCTTTTGCATTCTCCAAAACGAATCTTTGTCATGCATGATGTAATCTCAGATGCAGCACGCACATAAATAGAGTATCTGTCGCTGATTATTCCAGGTTCCTCATTTCGGTTTCACCGGCTGGGTCTCTTAACCCTCACAGAGCCGATGGGCTCATTGCACGAAGGACTTCAATTATGTCATTATACCCGACCGCCTGCCAGCCCTATATAGAGTGAACAGTTAATCGCCACATTTCGTTACCGGCGTAACGTTTCTAATTACCTTAAGTAAGCTTATACAGAAACGAACAAAGCTGTATGGGAAGATAGAGGTTTGAGATGAGAAATACATTTGACCAAATTCGGTCGCTAACTTCAGTGACACCCAGTGTTCAAGAGTTGTCCATCGCTAAACACACACACACACACACACACACACACACACACACACACACACACACACACACACACACACACACAGAGAGACAAACTGTGGAGGCAGCACGTAAATATTTCATATCATTAATTTTTTTATGGATTTCGGCGGCATTTGTTGAGGCAGCCTTCGGGAAGGGTGCTCGAACCCCTCGCAACCCACCGCTACGCATTTTTACATAATTTACAGATTTCGTATATTTACTTTTTTCTTGTGTGCTATATTTAAATTTCTTGGCACTATTTGTGGAGCCTGCCATATTAGCCGCGGTACTTTAAAAAAGCTTTCATGTTTTTTAGCTCAGTGAATTAGCATAACACACGGAAATAAAGTTTACTAAAGCACCCTGGTGCTTCTTGCTAGCTTGCAACTCGTTCTGAATTGAAACGACTCTCAAAAACACAAGACTCACCTTTTCTTCCAATTGCCTCGATCCATTCTTCCCGTATGTCTGTGGCAGGAAACTCGTGAAAACTTACTTTACTTTGTTTGCCTTGTTCCGATTTGCAATATGGCACGCAGCAATACACCATACTTACATTTGAGGTGTCAGCTCATCTAAAAAAAAAAAACTGCACGCGGCCACTATTAGAGCTGACTACTGCAGCTATCTGCCGTCTGCAAGTTTCTGCACACGACCTACTGTGTTTCTGCGTATCTTCTGCAATTTGTGTATGCGTATCGTCTGGAACCATCGTGATTCAGTGTGAACAATGAATGCCTAACAATAGTTTTTTTATCTCGTTGGACTACGTTTTCATTCAAGAAATATTTTCATAATAAATTTTCCTTCATTTGTAGAAAAGTTCCCGTCTGCTTGCCACTGTGACCCTTTGTGTGCTTTTTTTACGGTTCTATTTCTGCTTCAAACGTCCACACGAATGCAGCCAACTCTGACGAGGAATCATATCGCTTTATTTGCCATATTTTACACATTCATACACAATTCATGCACAATAAGAACGATTTGCACTGCCACAGCGATGGCTGAAGCAGACGACAGCGAACAGGTGCTGCCTAGCGCCACGCCGCTCGTAGGTGACGGCCCTAGCGGCAGAAGGTATGAACTAGAACGTGGGCGCTGGAAGAGGTGCTCTCTGGGCAGGTCAGGAGTGTAGTAGGTCATGATCATCATATTGACCTCCGAGATTTATTCAAAACACTGCACCGTTTAAAACTCGCGGAGGCTTTCTGTTCATACCCTACGTGCTTTAAATTCAAATGTCATCTTTCAACATCTTGGGTAAAAGTATCGCACGCTTTTTTTTTTTATAACTGTCGTCAATGCTAAACTATTTTTTTTACTAATAATAGTAAACTACAAGAAATCTTGTAATCTTTACTTAAAAAAACCTAGTGTGCTTGAGCAACGCAAAAACCTATTTGTAAATTGTGTTGTAAATAAACGAAAGGCAATTCCAATGTCATCAGTTTAGCACATTTTTCTGCTGACTCTAGGCGGGGCAACGAACGCCAGCCGGGCCACCAAGGCTGTGTGTGGCTCAGATATGCAGATCTGATGTTTGTTGGTCGCTGCAAGATCTTATTTCCCTTTTCGGTTATGCGATGATTCGGATCACACTACGTAAAATTGCTTTTCGAGAGACGCTACGAGACGAACTGCTGGCGTCCGTTCCCGCAGCGACAGTCCAGCCACAGAACCACAAGGCAAGTCCGATGAGCCAAGCCAGCGTTTCTTCTTGAAAGCTCAGGGAGCGCGGAAATTGGGTGTTTCTTCATTCTTGGGCTCCTTTGTTTTGCGTGTGAAACGTGACACACCGCCATCACCGGCTGTTGCGTCTCCTTGCAGAGCTGTATGAGCGAAGCCGGACCTTTCGGGTCCCTTCGATAGGAGCTGGACCGCAGTTATGTTCCCGCTCAACAACTGTCACCGCTGTCCTCCCGTCTTCGAATACTCCTAGCAGTTGTTCGTGTCAACCTGCACCACCATGACGTTGCTTTGTGAACGCCGTTTGCCCGCAACCGCCCACAGCTACGTGATGAGGCTGATCGTAGTCTTGCTGCTGACCATATCGCAGGTAACCGTGATTACATGCCAGTCTTTCTACGTGTCTGCATTTGCTGCCGAGCAGAGATGTCTGCGTTTCCCCTAATCGAATGGCTCACGGTCACAAAGACTCGTGTAAAATGCGCATGTGCATTTTAAGTTCTTAACGTGTAACGGGTGCGTTCTTCATGTATTGCCACTCGCAGGTCTCGGCCGGCGAATACTCGGTGATAATGGCTGAAGCGGACAATTCAGTGCATCAGTTTTGTATGGTGTATTTCTCGGAATTCAAGGAATTGCCAGAGAGTCCAGAAAGAATGGTTAGTTATGGTATTTGTGCAGCCTATGAGCCGTAGAGTGCATAAGCCTGAGCTCTGAAAGAGCTGTAAAACGACAGCCTTTTAAAATGTCCTGTATTTTGCTATGCAGCCCTACATCCAAATGGTCAACCTAACATCTCAGGATGGCTGCAAGAAACTGCAGTCTATTAATCTGCACGGCAAAGTTGCACTAATAAAGGACAGCGGCAACTGCACGCTAGACAAGGTTGTTCTTCACTACAAGGCTGCACAGGCCTATGGCATTGTCATTTCGACGCAGAAGAGTAGAGTGGTGAGTGTGTGTTGAGAAACAGACTAGTGACTGATGTAGTGTCACGGGCCGTGTGTTGTGACAGTTACTTATCTGCCTACTCATTTGGCTGCATTCCAGGACAACATTATCATCAACAGAAATGACACACGCAACCTGGATATTGTTGTGGGATTTGTTACAGACATCACTGGAAACAGCTTGCTGGTGGGTTTTTATTTGTAATCTGCACAAAATTTGACTCTCTTGCCTGCTTGCACACTCCCAAACTTGTGAGCCAGTTGTGCTCACGTGCAATAACTGAGTTGTTAATTCAGTGGATTTCGTCAAAAGACCCACAGAATTCCTGGCGCTCTTTGAGTTGCCTGTGCAAGACAGAAAATTAGTAACCTGTGCCCTTACTTTGGATGAGTTGGCTTTTGTAAAGTGCTTGTCGCTGTCATGTGCTAACGCTAGACTTGAGCCCTCCATTAGAAAATTGGCAATAACACCCAATGTAGACGCTCCCATACAGCTGCATTATGAATTGCTTAGGTTCTGTTTGGGGCACAATTGAGAGGAACATTACTTTAGAGTGCAGCCTGGTCGCTGAGACAAACTTCTTTGAAAAACAGTTCTGGTCAGCTTTTGATTACAGCAAGAACAAACTGAAGATTGCTAGGGTTGTGGCTTGGGCAAGTTGGTTTATTCTCATAAGAGGGAAGAGGGGAAAACAGCACAAAATTGATACACAAAATGACAAGTTGTCATGCCTCTTTCATCTTCTGTCTAAATTTTGGACTGTTTTTCCCTCTTACAAACAAAAGATGTCACGCAAGAGATATTTCTTTGCGAATAGTTGAAACTGATGGTAATGAATAGAGAGTGTTCACATAGTTATTATGGATTGTACAATTTAAAAGTGATGATAGTGCAAAAGACCAGAATTCTTCTGAGATGTCTACAGAGCATTGCATTTCAAGATGGCCTCATCTGATTCTCTGTTCCGTCTTGAGTCCGTCTATCCTGGTTAGGCACCTTGTATTCCATTGAGTGTGTACCAACATGCCCAGCAACAAGTTTGATTGACTTACATTTCAATAATCTCAAGAGTAACATGACACATGAAGTGCCTGGCCCCTCTTTGCAGAGCCTAATGAAGCCCAAGGAACCCTTGCTCACGAAGCTGTTTACCAAAAAAAGCCTGGCATTCGATTATAGCCTGATCATAATCTGGCTGGTAGCTGTGTTCACCCTCGGCGTTGGCTCCTATTGGTCAGGACTGGTCAAACACGAGATGTGAGTGCATTGTTTTCTGCTCATGCATCATGGCACTGGCTGTTACCGGATGATTTAGAGATCAGAGAGCCCGAGGGACGCGCAGCTTGTTTTCTATCTGTGCATAGTTAATCGCTTAGGTACTCTTAATGCTATAATTAGCTCAAAGGCTGCTTGTGATCATTTAAAGCAGTGTGTTTGCTACGTTATGAAAGCAGGGGTGACATTTCTAGTTCAGAGATGCCATAACTGTATTGTATATGACTACACTATACCCTACTCTGCTTTATAGATAAAGGACAGTGATATCAAATCTGGATTCCTCTTAGAGCTAACGCTTGCAGTGAAAGAAAGACAGGTCATCAAAAAACAAAAAGAAGGATGTTGGTGCAAAAGTAGCCCCTGGTAGCATTGCATGACACTTTTATGTATTCAGGTACGGCATATTTGTTGCATAGGAGGCATTTCCAGATTTGAGCACATTACTGCAAATGAGAGGCATGACACGTTTGTGCAAACAGCATTGGCAGCCTGCTGCTTGTGTTTTTGACTAAGACAGTGTTTTGCATAGTAGAAGGGAAAATGTGCACAAATAATATTCAGTTCTACCTAACCTAAAAACTGCAGGAGTTACGTGTAATATATGGCATAGTTATTTTGTGAAAAGCCTGGCATGTTTTAAACAGCCGCTCTGGAAAGCAAGTGGAATGAGTTTGACAACTGCTTCACTATTCGAAGTTTTCACTTTTTTTGCTATATACAATATTGAGCACGACTTATGACAAACGGAGCCATCGAGACTTGATCACTCTTTGAAACATTGGCAAATGTGCTCTTCAAGACATCAAAAAGTCATCGAAATGCCATGTGCCAGTGTCTTGCTGTATTTCCTAATTGCAGCTAGCCTATTGTGACAACTTATCTTAGGATGCAGGGCCCTTGTAATTAACATCCATTTTCATTGATATGCTTCCGAAGTAGATGTCGCTCCCCTTTAATGCTATCGTGTTAAAACACCCCTTTTCAGCTACCAGCACGAGATTGGCAAATGCTCGCATACCAGCCACGCCGGAGCTGAAGGCGAGGAGAGCTCATTGCCAAAGTCTGAGAATGTACTCGAGGAAGAGAGCTCGCTGGATGTCTCACCCGTGCTGGTTACGCTCTTTGTCATCTGCATGGGCGTCATGCTGCTTCTGCTCTACTTCTTCTTCCAGTACCTGGGTGAGTTGCTCCTTATTGGCAATAATAAGAGCATTGGCAAAGTGGACTTAAGTCCTAATTTATACCAGTGGTTGAACAGGTTGCTTTGGTCAAAAAGCGACTGTTACAGGTGAGTCACTCCCTGCTCAGTCTTTTTGCTGCATTTGTAATGACACGAAACCCATGAAGCAGTCAGATGCACAGCAGTGGAAGGTCTGCTTGTTGTTCATGGAGCTGGTTGTGTGACAGGCGTGAACAGCACCAACAGTGATTCATATTCATGTGGCAACGAGCAGTTTGTTCTAGCCATTGTGATCATTGGTTCCTTTGAGTTGCTTCTTGGTCATGTCGCTTCTTGGTCACTGGTCACAATCTCATATGCAGTCACTCCCAATCACCGATGTGACTTAAGCCTTACTCTTATATGTAGCGTTCCAACTAGGAACTAGCACATTAAAAACACATAATGTGCAACGGATGGGTGTCATCTGCCATTTTATTCTAACTTCTTCCTTCACTCCCCTATCATTCACTTTATCCTTTTTTGTGTGCTTATTGCAGATCACTTTTTTATAATGAGCACATAAAACACCAGGTGTTCCAGCAGTGACAATAAAAAAAAACGCCACCCAAAAACTCCGCACAAATGGTTAACCAGCGATAACTGAAACGTGCACTCCCGGTGTTTAGCTGTGGGTTCAATGCGTTGTGGAACTGAAGCCTTTCACAATTATTCGTTACATTTTCATGCTCATTAATGAGGTTAGAAACACATTTGGCTTGAGTTTACTACAGTTATCGCATGCCACACATTGTGCCTCGCATGATCACGATCATGGAGGAGTATAATGAGCGGTTAAATGCATTCCACAATGCAATAATTATAGTGATTGTTCTCGAACCACAGGCGGTCACTTACGTCGCAGCCGAAGCTGATGTGCCGCTGAAGAAAGTCCCGTCAAAAGCTGCCGTTTGCCCCGTCAAAGCAGCCCACAATCATCACGTTGACGCCGCAATGACGTTGCAAGTGTTTGACATTGCGAGAGAACTTGGCAGCATGGTTTGCAGGATCCGCCCTCTACTGGCGCTTGCATTCCTGCTCACGATTTAGCGCGGCTTGGAAGGCTGCCGGATCATCGGTACACAGTTGCTGCTGGCACTCTGTTTCCCGGGCCTGTTTTTGTGGCCGAACTGCACCATAAGCCCGGCGAATGTTGGCTCTAGCTCTCATGTTTACACTGTCGACGCTTTTCTAAAGTTGTCCTTGGCATACAAATGTGGAAGGTTTCAAGAGAAACTGATGCGCGTGCACTCAATGCTTCGGCTGCGGTGGGATGGACGACGTCACTCGCAATGCAGCGTGCGTGCTTGGGTACGATGCTGCGAACAATATAACTGAAAATAGAGCCAATAGAGACTGCTTGTGACACTGCTGCCGGGCAGATTTTTGTTTCTCTTAGTCATATACAGCTTTCGCTGTAATAAAAGCCCGTTAACTTGGTGCTTACTAATTAGTAAGATTGAATAATTCACACATGTTCTCTGGTCCTAGCAAGCATGTGCATTTTTAATGGCACACTTGTAAGTGTGGTCATATTTGCCTGCAACACAGTGAATCAAAATTGTTGGAGAACGCCAACTGTGAAATGCCACAAATCGGGAAGAAAAAAAAAACTGCGTTCACTGACAGCGATAATGTGGCAGCACAGTCGATATTGCCATCATAATCAGTGCAAACCATACAGTAATGACCGGAAGGTCAGACGCCTCATGCCTATTTGCATTTACCACCGTGAGTGATAGATACCACATCGTCCGCAGGCCTGTAGAAAAGCTTGGCCGTCATCAACGATCATGTTGTTGGCAACCAAGGCTTCGGCTTCTGCAGACTTGGTGCAATTGAACAACGTGAGTGCTATCTGTGATCATGTCAATAGCGACTGCAGTATTGTTCGCAGTGGCTCTGACAAGCAGTAGTTTACTTTTTGCCGTGTGCCTTCAGAGCTGTGTAGTTGCCATCTATTATTATACAAGGGGCCTTTCACCTAGGTTGCATTGTGAACAAAGTTGCAGAATGACAAAAATGGTTGCTTTTTGCACTTTCCTTATGCAAAACAAGAACATTATTTATGTAGTCATTGAAAAAATAATGTGCATTGTTGTATCAGGCACTCTTTTTTGTTTTCCTAATAGTTTAGATAACTCGGCATTTCAGTTATATTAAATGTTTTTCCGGTCTCCTGAAATCCGAATTGACGAGCTTCCCCTGTAAAACATGGGAGCAACTTGTGTTAGGCCATTTTTGTTACTTCAAAAGGTTTGAGTAGACAAACAAATGCACCTTCCACTGGACTTAATGGCACAACAAAAAGCATCTAGTATTTCTTTGTGGGAACTTTAACTTGAACAGCTAAGGCGTCTATTTTTTACTGGTTTTATAATAGTTGCACAAAACATTTCCGGTCTCTGTCAGATATATAGAGCCACAAAAGCCCAAGCAATCTACAGAACTTGATCTTGCTTTCTTGGTGTGTGTTGTGTAATGTCAAGTTTTCTTTCCTTCCAGTGTTCTTCATCATCGGCATGTTCGCCTTGGCATCTGTGGTGTCTGTCATTGGTGTGCTCGAACCTTTAATCTACAAAATTCCAGTTGGGACAACAAGGTTAGTATATAAGCTTGCCTTAGTGAAAATTTTCAGTCACACCAGCCTTGCATCGACCAGTGTTACTCTAGGTATGATGAACGCACCACAGAGCTTCAGCTAAACTTAATGCTATTTCTTTTAATTTGTGCTATCGTTTTTTGTGCACAACCGAGTCAAGACGGTTTACCAATTTTCCCAGCAGTTCATGCTTCTCTAATAATTGCAAACTTGGTTTGCCATCGCAGCAAGCGGTGAAAGCAGTTGTGGTGCTATGTGCCTGCCATTTTTCAAGGTAGCTCGTGTGTCACAAACTCTGACTTTGCTTTTTGCCGTTTCACAACGGAGCAAACTGCAAGTAATCTGCTATTAAATTATTTGCTTTCACTGGCTGGTCCTGATTTCCTTCCTTGTATTTCGTGCAGTGTTTGTTAAGCTTGTTGGCAGCCTGCAGCACTCTAAAACTCCGCACTAATTTGTGCTGTGCACATCGCATCAGAAAACCTTAGCTTTTATTCTAACTCCAACACTCTTTTATATTAAATGCACTCAATGGCTTATTTGGGGCCTGAAAAGCTTCATAGCATGAGGGTACATAAAATGCAACTCGGTCCTTAATAGTTGGCAGCATCATCTTCAATGTTGCTGTTGGTGTCACGCTCAGTGCTCTTGCAGTCCTCATCGTCCAGTGAAGCAATGCTGCAGTGGTATCCGCACCTTTCGTCGGTGTGGCTGCTGTGTTGTTTTTCCAGGAAACTAGACAACCAGCGGAGCCCACTCCTGAATTCTCATGCCATGCCTCTGTGTCGCGCGCAGGATCCCCCGCAATGTGTGCCCATGTTTCCATGGCCCCCTGGAGGTGCGTCAGCTGGCACTCATTGTGTTTGCCATCTCGGTGTCAGTGACCTGGGTCGTGCTGCGGCACCACCCGCAGTCGTGGATTCTACAGGACCTGCTGGGCGTCGCCTTCAGCATCAACATGCTCAAGACCCTGCGCCTGCCAAACCTCATGGTGCGCTTTTGCCACATAGAACTGAAACCCCCTATATGAGCGAATTTTCCCGGAGAAGTGAGGAGATTGGTCGTTGCGTGCCTCGACCACTTGTTGATGTCACTGGATAGCTTGGTTTGAATGTCATAGAAGGTGCCACTAATTGATTGGCGGATTATGTAATTCCACTTTGTCATCACTCCTTTACCACATGCTGTGGTGGAGCATGTCTTCTTAGCCTTACACAGCTTGGTGTGTTTTGGTGCATGTGATTGTAAGTTACACCAAAACAACAAGCTCTTTCGCATGCCTATCACCACTGCATATGCAGACAAAATACAAACATTTTTAGTGTTTTTTTTTACAGTTATGCACATGGTTGAAAAGACACCAAGCTTTTTAGTTCAGTTCCGCCAATTGTCCAGGCTCTGTATTGTTAGCTGTGCAAGGTGTCAGGTTGTACTTACATGGCCGTTCAGTACCTGATATCGCACAGTATTAGTATCAAGCGCATAGCACCTGTGGCATAACTGTCGGCATTTGTTTATCAACTCGCAAGAGGATTGCATTGTAAACTGCATTCCCAACATAGTAGTGCTTTTCACTCATCTTTAGCAAATGACAAAACTTATCTTGTTGCCATTCCGTTGTGTCCCTGCACCTGCAGCTGTCACTTGCATCGTATTTTACCAACAAGCAGCAGACTTCAGCAATAGCTACTATCTCTATTGTGTCGCTTCTCACTCTAGCATGTGAAATTTCTCATATGGTGGGCTGTTTATATGTAGTACTTCCAAGTTTTCTCACCTCGAGAGCAACATCGTATGTGTCCTCACCATATTTAACCATATAACCATATAATATATGATCATTAACCATATAAACAGACCTCACCATATTTGTTTGTCACAGACAAGTGCACTCAAATCTCATTATAAAAAAGTTGCTTGTCACACAAAAATAAGTCTATTATATCCAAAAATTCGTTACAAAGTAATATTCCTAACACTGTCTATTGCAAGACTATTTTTTGTTGACTTCATTATAACTGATTTTTCGTTATGTCCACATTTGTTATACTGTTAAACCTGGATATAACGAAATTGACTAATTCTCGGAAAAACTTGTTATAAAGAAGATATAAAGAGGTTCAGTACGAAAATTTGGAAAATAAACGCACATTAAACAAAAGGGGAACTGAAAGCATAGCTAACCCAAAACACCGTCGCCGTGTTCGCCGTCGCCGCTATGCACCGTAACAAGTCCAAATTGATGACATGCTCCCGTGCATTTGTTGCAACTTTTACGAACAAGTAAAAGCAGAGATCAAATGAGCCGACCCGTCTCTATCGCCCGAAGAACGCATACGATAATATCCCCCCACGTGTTGAAACTGCCGTCTAAGGCTCGGAGAAAAGAAGACCACCCGTATTGAACAAGAATGAGAAAGCGTGGAAGAGAGGGCTGGGCGGTCACTCGAGTAGCAACAAAGAACTTTGATTTTGAGGGCACAGTCGCCATCACTGGCACCTGTTATCTCGGCAGGCATACGTGTGCTTATAACGCGTATACTGTGAAAAGAGCACTTCATCCTGGGGCGGCCATATTTGCTTACACCAGCGTTTTGTAGGAGTACCGCGATATCGGACCGAAAAGAGTTGGCTGCCGGCCTTACTTCTCATACAACATTACAATTTGTTGCTCTCGCATTAATTGCGTTGCATCCAACACGCCCTCGTGTTGTTGCCAAAGGTAATCTGAATCCTGAAGGCGACGGTTCCTCGAACGCGTGGTGCAGACGGAAACGCATGACGAGCCGACCTCCGAACATCCATCGTAGTCACAATGGTCTTGGAGTGTTTCCATCAGCGTCTAATCTGACATCCCCTCAGTAGTGGCGACATGGTCGTCTGCATTAAAAAAAAGCAAAGCTGTACGTTGTCAGGGCCCACATTATGCGCGTGCATTGAAACCATGCATCCACTCAAGGCGTCGAGAACGAGAGTTAACGATGCAGATACTGTGGAAGACTATTCGGTAAAGCGCCCTCCATATCTAGCGCCGCCCCACATATGTGATGCTAACTCGCAAAAGTAGTTTTGTAGCGTTAGCTACACTGGCCTCGCTGAGCCAATTTCCCGTGGCACTGGTCTGCGCATGTGCAATGATACTCCGCCGCCGCCGCGCCGCCGGTGTGCGCGCAATTTGATGCGCTGCGCAGACGATCAGTGGTGTCGCGCACCGGAGCCGGCACCTCCCTCGCACACTGCCGCGCCGCGCCCGACTCGCCGCCGCCGGTGTGCGCTTTCCAGGGGAGTGCCGTCATAGCCTTGGTAGACATTTGGACGCCGACGCGTGCTCCTTCCCTGTGCAGTCGCCATCTGACACTGCGCTGGAGCCGCTTGATAGCGCCTCTGACTGGCGTTTGCCACTGTGGTATAGACATGGAGAAGGAGAGTGCAAATGCTGCTCAACGGTGCAGTAGAGCGGAGAAGCTTAACTCGTCAGATCCCAAAGTAGTTGCCCGGCAAAATAAATATACATGTGCCACATAATACGTACACCGTGTGTGTGTCATTGGAACAGTTGTAAGCATGATATCTGGAAAGCTAAGAATAATGAGCTGAACCTTTGCTAAAGCTATGTATATCCTCGCATAGCTGAGCTAAGGTACTGCCATTTTTTTTTTTTTTGAGGGGGAGGGCACATCCGCGCATGCGACTGCAGTGGCAAGAACAGCGGCAATGTCGTCTCGTGGGGCGGAGACCTGCCTGCCCACCTTGCGCGCAATAACAAGCGCTCTCTCACCTGGGAATCGCCGGGGCCACAAGCACGCCGCCGAGGTTTCGCGCTCGGTCGGTGGCGGGGCTACCACGTAAGATGCATGCTCGTGCCAAAATTACAAAATCCGGGGCGATATTTCTAGATTGTTTGTGGTTAAAATTCGTTATATCAAGGTTGTCTCCCGCTGTTACTTTGTTACACAGAGGTCTCATATATATATGCTTCTATGGAATAACGGCCGGGAATACGAAAACTTTGTTATACCGAGGAATTTGTTATATAGAGGTTCATGATTAGCAGGTTTAACTGTATCGAGGTTTGAGCGTATTTTTTGCCTTTTGCTCACCTCTGCATGAATGTGTTCCCGAGATATCGTGAAGCTTTTATTGATGGAAAATTTCGTCTTGATGTGTGGCACTGTGTCAGTGTAGGGCACACTTTAGTAAAGCCACACTACATGGCAAGATTCGCATGTAACTGACATTTCGTCTTTCTGTTGCAGGTTATGCGCATAAATATGATACAGTCACAGTGCATCCATCATCAAGTGGTGGTGATGGTGTCGCCAAGTATTAAAGTATACGGTAGATCTTGATTCGATTTTGGAGATATTGTGAGAATTGATGGCCGAGTTACACAACAAGCTTTAAACAAAGAGCGGAAAAAATATATAAACTCAATCCCATATATATCTAACTCCAAGGGGATCGTGAAATAGTTTGATATATCGATAATTCGAAAGACAAAATATGCGTATTTAAGGCCTAAATTAGCCCTGCCATGGTGGTCTAGTGGCTAATGCACTCCGCTACTGACCCGCAGGTCGCGGGATAGAAGCCTGGCTGCAGCAGCTGCATTTTCGGTGAAGGCAAAAATGCTGTAGGCTTATGTGCTCAGATTTCGGTGCACGTTAAGGAACCCCAGTTGGTCAAAATTTTCAGAGCCCTCTACTATGGTGTTTCTCATAATCATATGGTGGTTTTAGGATGTTAAACCCCACATATCAATCAATTATCAGAAAGCACTTTTTTACCCGTTCGTCACAAAGTAGACACATCTTAATGTGCACAGAGTGGCCACTTTTCCTTGGTTCAGCCAGCTGGACAATTAGTCAAGTGCAGATTTTTCGGACCCTCTAGAAAGCGAAAAACCGTCCAAAAATTCGGGCAGTCCGAAAAAATGAATGCAAGGAAAAAAAAAATGCGTTATTTTACGGATAATTTTCAATGCAAGCCAAAAAAACTCACCATTTTGCTAATATTTGTCAATGCAAGAAAAAAACGCACCATTTTATTGATATTTCTCGGATCAAGAGGGACTGCGTAAACAAAACAAATGTGGACTGCGTAAACAAAACAGTCTGATGGCAGGCGACGGTGCCTCGGGTACTCCGGAGGTGGCGCTGGTAAACATTCAAGATAGCCAGCGTGGCCAGACCGAATCGGTGTGTGTGACGGTTAGTTTTAGTTTGAAGTGTTGAAACGCTTCGTGAAAGCGCTGCGCAGGAAGCCAGAGTGGCACGCACAAGCGCTAAAGCGAAAGGAACTTTATTGGCGCCAAAAAATTTCCGGGTGGATAGTTTCAATTATCAGCGAAGCACCCTTGCACTATAAACTTGGCCAGTGTTAGGAATCTCGGAGGCCATGTGTGTTTCTCCGCTAACGATCAACGAGTCCAAGCAACAGATGCCGCCACAGTAGACCGGCGTGCTCATTTATGCGATCGTAATCGCGTGTGACAGTTGTGGTGGTTTCCACTGGAGGTCAGTGGTGGTTTCCGACCTTCCGTCATGTCAAAAAGTCCGGAAAATTGGACTCCGGGGGGTTCGAGCGTCCGAAATTTCAGACTTCCTTATACATTGATTCTACGGGGCTCGTGGCGGTGCCGCGAAGATTTCCGAATTATCGGGCATGTCCAAAAATTCGGGTGTCAGAAAAATTGGCAGTTGTCTGTAGATTAAGCGCAACGCCATCAGCAGGAATCGCACACAAAAGCTGGCTCTCTTACTGGGTTCCTTCTGCGAGCAACGTTGAAATGCTACTACGTTTGTGCTATAAATATAAATTTTCTTTTGTTTGCCCATTTGTCTTGTGTTTGCGCATCAGGAACATTTTTTAGGTCTTTTGTAACTGTTTGCTTGCATCTGCTGTACTCTGATACTACTGTTAGCATATGGCTTTGTCAGGTAATGTATGCCTTTTGTTGCATCATGCAGGACAAATTTTTAACTCATGGTCGAAAAAGAAAGGAGAAAAATGGTTTTTTTCCTGAATGATCCTTTGCAGGAAAATTTCCTAAGGTGAAATCCTAGTGCATAACTAGGGATCTCCAGTGGTACTTGCACAAAAGTGTCTATGCATCAAGAGAATGACAGGATGTACTGAAAAGGAAGTTTTCTTGAACTGGGCTTTGCATGATATGTTGTGACGGCTGCAAAAAAAAAAAGGCATGTCTTTTGGTCTCTTTTAAAACTAGCCAGGGTGCATGTGCTCTTTCTGAAATATATTTCCCGTTTTTGCAGATCTGCAGCGTGCTCTTGGTGTTGCTTTTCTTCTACGACATCTTCTTTGTTTTCGTCACTCCATTCTTGACTATGGTAAGTAGAGTGCAATTTTCTTTGCAGTGGAGATTGCTTGTCCATATTTAACATTTACCACAATATCCAAGCATCTCCACATTCCCATGCTTATTGAATCTTATTTGCACTAGGCAGCCAACTTACAGTTTAACTGCATGTATGTGCCAGATGTTCAGTTTGCCTCGCTGTGTCAAACCTCAATAATGAAAACTTTTTGCTATGATGACACTGAAAGGGGAGAGGGCGAACTAACATTCTGACACATTAAAATGATATCTTCAGTGCTTGATAGCCTTGCTTTTTGAAAATGTTAGGGAAAATCGCTCTCACTTCATTATGTTCATAACTTTTATATAGAGGTTTGGTAGCTGTGAAAATGGTGAAATTACAATAATGGCAATTAAATGTTCAATCTTATAACACTGCGTGCACTGTGGGACTGGTTTGTACCAGGCCCCACAAGTACTAGGTGAATGCAGAGACTTTATGCTTTCTGACTGACATTTTTGAAATTTTGCATGGTATTCTCGCCGAGCTGATGTAAATGGGCTCATGCTCATAAAGGGTACATAGCTTATGAGTGCACATGCCCTAAGAGAATGCTGGTGCAACCACTATGATCCGCACAGACATGTATTTTTGTTCAAATGCTCGAGTAAGGTGACTTAGCTTCTGGTTACTAAAATTGGCTGCCGACATTTCGTACATATCTGATTATTGAGACATCTCTGTTGCTATTCCTATTATACATTGGTCAATTTACAAGTGTACATTGGACAAATGTGCCGAGTTGGCTGAAAATTGGCACGTGCTTGTTAAACTTTTGGACGTGACCCGTGTGCCCAATGTTTCAAAAATGGCAGCCACGAAGCCACGAGTCCCACTACTCAAATTGGCCCTGTGCACATTTACAGAAGGGCGAGAGCGTCATGGTGGATGTGGCCACAAGAGGCCTGGAGCAGCTGCCAACGGTGCTGAGGCCCCCCTTCTCTCCCCGCTTCAACAATAAGTTTCTTCATCAGCTTGGCAGTTAAAAGCTTTGCCCTCATTGGCGATGTGACCTGATGTCCCAGATTGCAACTGAGTGTCAATGAGAGCGTCGGAAATGAATCGCTTTTGTTTTAAAGAGCACAAGTAGCTGCTGTCACTGCCTTTGTGGAAGTACATTTTTGTTTGAAAGTTGTCTCATTGATTCACAGAGGACAATTTTTCATATTTCGCTTCCTAGCAGCATTCTCGTGAATTTGCAATGCTGTTGCTTATAGGGATTAACATAACTCTGCTTGTTTTTTTTTGTATTTTTTAATTCTGTATTGATCTGCATTTTGTTTGCAAAGAACATGCTTGCCGCTCATGCAAAAGCAAGAAACTTTAATGACTGTTTGTGTCGGGCATTCATGCTTCTCGCTAATAGTTTTGAATTCCAAGGGCAGAGCTGGAGCAGTCGACCGACTTTGCTAGTGAGCACTTGACTCTGCGTAGAACAATCCCATCAGATATGCAATTGGAACACAACACGTCACTGTAACTAGGTGAAAGCGGAAGGTCTATCTTTCGATTGAGGAGTTGTCTAGGATACCTTGCTTATATAGTCACTTAACCTGCTGTCAAATCACTCGTGCATGGAAGTTTCAGCGGCACTGTTGCTATGCGATGTACCACTCGTGCAGAAATATCTTTCTGACTCGGCGCTGTTGTTGTGGAGCAGCAGAAACAATGCTGCACAATTTGACAACTCATTCGTGTGTTCCGCTAATACGTACCACTAAAACAAGCGACCACTGGCGGCACCCCCAAGAAGGCAAATGTGTTGGAAGAAAGTATGTCATGCCGAGATCTGGTCCACTACAGCGATTTTTGTGGAGCTACTTCTGATTCACGGAGTGACTTCCACTCTGAATTCATTTTGACTCAGTCACTAGAACGCTAGACTCCCTTCCTCAATCGGCCATTGTAACACACTTGCTCCAAAACGAGCAGAACTACTTGCTCTGACTCGGCCATTGGAATTCAACATGAGTTTGTCTGTCCAGCAGTAAGCACAGTTGCTGACCGATTTTCTTGGAGTACCTGGTTTTTCTGTCGCCTGGCCATTCTCACTTTCAGATCTAAAGCAGCTTATGGCGAAGTTCAATCCTTTGTGCGTAACCACCCTTACTGGGCATGCGCAACAGCTGGCCCAAGCACTGCCAGAACATGCTCGCGCGTTCTGGCCTGTGTGAAGGGCTGAGTAAGACACTGTGGCTTTTGCCTCTTACACTCTCTCAGCAATCACGTGATGGCATCGGGAATGAGATTCTGCAGATGTGCGATGAATCAACGCGTTCTATCTCAGAACGTGCTGGCATGCGATAAGGTGTTTGGGCCTGCGTAAGTGGCTGTGGTCTCCCCCTTACACTCGCTCGGCAATCGCTTGATGTCGTTGGGGAACGAGATTCTGCAGACGCGCGATGAACCCATGTGCTCTCATTTCGCTTGGCAATGAACCCGCGTGGCCTCCTCCAACTAGAGTTAGGGACGAGTAAAAGCAACAGAAACTACAATGAATTAATGGTGTGCTCCACTGGCAAGGACGCGTTACCATCGGGCAAGGTGCTCATGATGAACGAAACATTAAGTCGGCCTATGCGCCGCTTCGCATGCTACTCATGCTTCCATATAGTAGGAGGTGGTGTGAATTTTTTTCAGTTATGATGTCTTCTTTATGCGCTGCTAGTTTTCCCTTTGCACCAATATACATTGTAAACCAAATCATAGGTGCTACAGTGTTTCCCAAGATAGCTCAGATGTGGTGAGCGCTGCTGCAAGAAATTGCAGCCTCGGAGTAAATTTGGTCATTTGGGGTCATGTCGTACCCTTGCTTATGTTGATGAAGCTTCTTTCTTTAATTTTTCGTTGTTATGTATCCTCTGCGAGTACATGTGCATTGGCTTGTTACCGAACCATAACTTTGGTTTCTGATACTTCGTGACAGTGTGCTGGCTTAGTTGAAAAACACAGGCCTTGGAGAAAGCTTGCGTGGGCAACGTGGCTATGAGCTGCAAGCTGTGTGCCAAGCTGCTGTTCACTTTCTGCCAGTGTTTTTCATTAATGACTTGACCTAATGAATGAATGAGTGGCCATGCTTTTGGCTGACATCCGTACAAGCACCATTTCATCATCATCATCATCAGCCTGATTACGTCCACTGCAGGACAAAGGCCTCTCCCATGTTCCACCAGTTAATTCGGTCCTGTGCTTGCTGCTGCCAGTTTATACCCGCAAGCTTCTTAATCTCATCTGCCCACCTAACCTTCTGTCTCCCCCTAACCCACTTGCCTTCTCTAGGAATCTAGTTAGTTACCCTTTAATCCAGTTAATCCAGATAAGCACCATTTAGTACGTTCTAAAAGAGACCATTTGTCATTTGTATTAAACTTACTGGAAAGCTTCTATTCTGACTTATAAGAACCACTTAGCACATTCTAAAAGCGACCATTTGTCATTTGTATTAAGTAAACTCTGAGTAAATTTATCATAAACTTACTGGAAAGCTTCTATTCCGGCTTATAAGAATGCTCTGAAAGATTTGTGTGGTGCAACCCAGAATATGGTTTGTGACGGATTTCTCATGCTTCAAAAATTCAATCTTGTTGCATATTTCGGACTTTATAAAGGCACTATCAACATTCCCATAGCACTAAAGCATTCTCACGACCCATTTTTTGGACGAGATCATGCTCTAAAATTTGATTTACTGTACTAAATCGTTCGTTTTGAGCCGTGCCTCTTAATTTTGATATCGGCCATGTTGAATTTTGCGTTGGCATTGTTGAGTTTGGCTTACAGTGGCTAGTTGTGTGGCCTCCAAGATTGAAAGCACACACAAGCTTCCAGTGTGTTATCTTCCTCGGCTGGCAAAACTGTCTAGGTGACTCAGCTTTTCTTCTTTAGTTATTGTTATCATCATCATTACTAGGCTTGTGCGAATAGTGAATTTTCGGTTCGAAGCGAATTTGAAGCGAATATTGATTTTGGCCAAATAATTTTGAATCAAATTCGAATAGTGTATGTGACATATAAATAAAAATGGGCATATTTATCATAACCTTACTAAGCTTCTCAATATTTTTTTACTTGAACTGGAGCCTCTATGCAAATGCCTTCTGTTTTCATTCAAAGGAAGTCGAAAAAACGTTGAGTAGTAGCAGGATTTGACTTTCTGTAGGATGCGAGTGATGGACTTTCAATTACATAACATTTTCAACTTTATTATACATAGAGCATACAAGCCGTCGTAACAAACTTTTAAGCTTAATAAGATGAGGAATTGATTTTAGGGTTAATAGGCTTATTTAAAGGGACCCTGCAACACTTTTTCAAGTAGCCATAAAAGGAATTCACTAAAGAAGCTTATTGGCCCACGAATTCACTGCCTGAAACATTTTTAGAATCCATCCAGTACAAGTGGAGTTGCAAAGATTTGTTGCACGCTGCAGTTTCATTCTCTCATATCGTCCCGACAAAAGTGCTGGAAGCTCAGCAGGGAGGGATGGCAGCGTTTTCTGACCATGCTCAAAAAGTGTTGCAGGGGCCCCTGTAAATTTGAAGGGGGCTTTCTGGCAGGGCAGATTTTTTTTGTGAAAAAACTTTCATGGCTAAGCATTTCTATTTTGCAGTAAAACCACCTTTACAGGTGGTTACATGCAAGTTAATATACATTTATTCGTTCATTGCGAATACTTCGAAATTTTCAATAATTTAAATTCGAATCGAAGTGAATTCGAATACTCTACTCTTCATTTGAATATACGAACCATACGAATATTCACACGAGCCTAATCATTACACGTCAGTAGGCTATTTGGGTTTTTGTTTTGTTTTATTTTTAAGTGTTTAATTTCACACGTGGTCATTTTGGTGATGCATCAAGTGTTTTTGAGCTGTCGTGCGTGTCGCATGTTCTCTGCTGTTGTGGTTGCTCAATAGCAATTGGTTGTTACGGTGCTTGGCCACTGACCTGGAACAAACAGGTTTGATCATGGCCGTGGCAATCACATTTCAATAGAGGCAGAATGTTGGAGGCTTGCATACTTGCAATGTCTGTGTAGGTTATAAAAAAATCCAGACGGCATCGTTAAATCCAACCAGACAGAAGAGATGTTGCAAGCATTTTTTTTGCAACAGACATCAAGTTTTTGTTTCCTTGGTGCCATGGAGCCACCTACTGTGCCACCCACAACGGTCGACGACAACGATTGCCAATTTACTGATGATGTTAGCATTGCCCGAGTACAACTAAATCTACTCATCCCCAAGCACAGCATGACGCTGGGCATTGTTGAGGACTTTGTTGGCTACTCTAATCTAAACTAACTTCATTGTCATGTGCCTTCTATTTTTTCTGACTGCTCAATTTTTCGGACTATTGGCCGTCCCCGCCAGGTCTGAAAAATTAGTCGGCAACTGTAGTAAAGTCAAAACTACGTTTAAAAAATATAAATTTACAGCATTGCCGTGTGGCCGTATAAAGAGTACTGCAAAATTCTCTCGGGACTTCGGTAGTTGCTAAAATTTTTGTAGAAAATGTTTTTTTTTTTTTAAGCTTAAGACTGGGCAATATCTTCGTCTGCCCGACTATTCCCTCATTTTTTCAGCTTGAGAAATCAGTCAGTGATTGTGTAGTTGCGAACTTGTCTGTGTTCTTGCTTGTGTTGCTTTGCCTTTGTGTTCATCTCTCAGAGTGGTATGTCTTTTAGCTGTTGACTCGTGCACGCCTAATGTGGCACTCACCCTGGTCGTTGTTGCCACTTGTGTTGTCCACCTGCAGAAAGGCGAGAGCATCATGGTTGAAGTGGCTAAAGGAGGCAACACCCAGGAGCAGCTGCCCATGGTGCTGAGGGTGCCCCACTTCAACAACGAGTCGCTGTCGGTCTGCTTCGGCCAGTTCTCATTGCTGGGCTTTGGGGACATTCTTGTTCCAGGTACGCTCCTTCTCAATTGGACTGTTCGTTTGGTCGCGTTGTAAACGGCAGCTCTTGTCCACGCATTCTCGCGCCTGAAAGCAGTTCAGGGAAACAACAGCTTTAATTCTCTTAATGCCATGGCGAAAACATGTGTTTCTGGAAGCTTTCAGTAGATTGAAGGAGCTACTGCACCTTATATATTATGAATGATAGATAAACAGAAAAGAAATGAATGACCTTTTTATGCATGCAAGTTTCACTAGTGAGGTACTACTATATGCTATGTGAGCAATATAAATTGCAAAATTTAAAATTGCAGGAATGAATTAAACAGATCTTGTAATGTCATGCTTCTATCTACTAACTAAAATATATAGCAGTAATTATGAGATATAAAAATGCACTGTCATCAAATAAATGCCATCTCTGAAAAATTTATAAACATTTTTATTAAACAGGACTTCCTTGACAAAAATCCTACTGCAAGCTCTCTTATTGGGTTTGTCATGCGGCAAAACAGTTCCTTGATGTAAAGCTTTGCGTAATGTTGCATGTCTTGCAGTAAACTCTTGCTTTATGCTTGGTTTTATTGTAGCACATCTATTTTTCACAGTTTCTAGAAGTCTCCCATCGTGGCAGGCTAGTGCTGAAACATGTTTTTGGCTGCTTTGCGTCCTCGTTGCTCTCAGAGTCAAAGCCAGAAAAAAAAAGCAGTATCCTCGAGCTCGCTGCTCCTATAGCTAAATCTATAAAATCAGTCGCAGACACACAGGCATGCTGTTACCTGCATTCATTTAAAGCGCGTGCATGCACTGCATTCGGTATTGGCTATATCCACATTCCGCTCAGACGAGCGTGCAAAATTGGAGTGTGTTAAAAAATTAAGGCCGGGGGGGGGGGGGGGGGGAGTACAAAGAAAAGTCTAGCTATTCTCTTTCGTGACGGATGTCCCTAAAGCAACGAAATGTCGCTGGATCAACAGAATGTTCTTGAAGCGGCAATTCAGACTGTCTATAACAAGCATATATGGTTTGAATTGCCGCTACCTGTTTATGTGCATTGCGCTGGGTATTGTTGGAATGGTTAACAACCTAGTTGCTTTCAGTACATCGATGATGTATTTCTAAACAGCATTTAATTTTGTTGTTTTCTTGCTCATATAGTGCTGTTCGTGTGGTGTAAGAGGCTGAGCTAACACATGCATTTGTACACCGTTTTTAGGCCTCCTGGTTGCCTACTGCCATGGTTTTGACCTGCTGACTACAAGAAGCCGTCTGTATTTCCTCACTGGCACGCTGTGTATGTTTCCTTTAGTGAACTGCCTGCTGTGTGGATTCCACCTTTTGCAATTTTTCTTGCTTGCATGCTCTCATACAGCTTTTGTAATGGATGCATGTTCCACTTACCAAAAACGTGCATTCAATTTTATGGCTGGAAAATGCTCACTGTCGTTCTTTATGAAAGAGGAGACGCGATCGTGTGACCTGCTCTCTACAACGGCTGCCTACAGTATCTTGCAGCACTTGTTCAGCGGCCATAACTCATTGTTTTATTGTTTTGTTTGCCAATAGATGACGCCAAAAGCCAACGTCCTCTTTTGCTGTTAGTTGATGGTCCTGTAAGCAGCCGCCGCAGAGCACAGGCCACGCGCTCATGTGTTTCCTTTCATAAAGGACATCAGTGTACCTCATTCCTAGTGACACAGGAGCTGACTAAAGTAAGGGAAATGGCATAGGAACTGAGTAGTGGTTTTGCCTGTCGCTTGAACAGCTTTATTGGGAGGTTGTAACAATTATACATGTGCAACTTCCAAACCGCGTGTTGCCTTGGCCAAGACTCAGCAGGCAGACCACTCAATCCCAAAAATATGCGGCATCATCACATGATGTGGCCACAACACATCATGTTAACTCTTGCCCTCTCACTATAGTGCAGTTGTTAAATTTGATGCGCCTCCTCACTTTAATGAGTGCCAAAAGCCTGGAGACTGAAAGTTTTTGGTTTTTTCTTTTTTCGTTATTCACCATCGCCAGCTACAAACTGGTGCGATAGAAGTCTCCCTATTTCGCAGCTGTGCTCATCTTTCTGCCTCTTTCGGTTCATGGTTCGAGCCTTTTCGAGTTCTTTATCCTTATCTTTACATTGTGGTGCTGTGCCATGTCTATGTTGCAGTTTATGGCATGGGGCTTGTGCTGACATTCATCGCACTGTACTTGATGCGAACTCCCCAGCCTGCGTTACTGTACCTCGTGCCAGCCACGCTCCTGCCAACCATCGGCATAGCATGGTGTAGAGGGCAGCTAGCCGACATCTGGCACGGTGTCAAGGTGAGTTGTGAATTGTGTCCTCAGTAGTTCTGCACCATCCTCTCACTTTTGGTCCGTAGCTGTACGCCCACCTTGGTTACTTCCTGGCTGTAGCACCACCACTAAACATGAGGGTGCAGTTTTGGTACTGGATCATAGGGCTGTAGGTATTTTAGTGGTGGCAAAATGCAAAAGTATCCTTTGGGCTCTTGTTAAAAAAACCCAAGCGATCTGGATTAATGTTAAGTGCCGTCCTATGGCAAGCCTCGTGATCATGATATTGAGGTTTGAACATGTAAAAAGCAGAATATATATATATATTTTTTTAATTTGCCACAACAACTGAGCACTGTTCTCAAACACAAATGGTCGCTTGAAGCTTTTGACTGAGACAGAAAACATATGCTTACATCTTCATCTATAACTTAGCGCCGCAGTGGGCCCTGCAGTACAGTCTAACCTTATCAAAATAAAATACCGCCGAACTTAAAAGTAGTGCTTTCATCATGTCAATGCTCAGTGTTGGTCAAAAGAAGGGGAGTCGGTCGGATAAGAACACTCATTGCTATGCTTTTACCAAGTTGCGTTTCCCTCATGACAATCGTGAGCTTTTTAATCCATTTGGGTGAAGCTGGAGGCAAACAGCAGGCAACAGAAATCGGAGTGCAATCGCACATGAAGTTGCCTCATGTATTTCGACGAACGCTTTGCTTTGCAAGTTACGGTACAACACGAGCATGTGCTTAGAGCTGTGTACTCGTTATGACCGCGCATAATTTGGGTGGGCCTGGTTTACTTGCAGCCTGTGCCACTAGCGCTGACTGGGCAGACTGTTCCTCCCACCACGGTCGTGCCGCCAAGGGCGGTTAGCAGCGCAGATGCCTCGCAAGCCCCGTCAACTCCCACTAGTTGCCACGGGACCATAAACTCGTCAAGCCGGCCGGGTACACCACCGCCGCTCGCGAGTCCTCAACATGTTCCGGCGTCGCAGCTGGGTGGTTCCCCATACGCTCAGCCAAGGATGTCTCCACCACCGAGCCCCGGTTCTGGGGGAAGGGTCTCTCCAGGCCGTACTTCAAACGCTCATTCGAGCAATCGCGTTCCAAGCACGCTACCGCAGGCCAACACCCCTCTCCTCAGTCCAGCGCAGTATCCTAACCCTGGGACTCAAAGCCAGTACTGGGTTGGTGCTCAAGAACACTTTGGCAATTCTTTCCCTGCTGAAACGACACAGAGGTAGTAGCCACTCATGGCCTCTGCTGTTCAGTACGAGGGACTGTACCTGGGAGTTCTTGTTGTGATGCTTTTACCATTTTTATGTTATATCTTTTCTTTTTGTACTCTGTGGCCACTCTGCAACCATCTGATTAGCTGCAGTTCTGAGCTTCTTCCGTTGGCAGGAACGCCTTAGAAAGGCTAGCTAGTGTATGACTCTCCTTTCGTGCATAACCCTTCTTTTGTGCACTGTCTGTCCACTTATTGGACAGTTACCATGTAGCAAATTCTGTGAGCTGCACTGATGGTAGGCCGTGTTGCACGTGCTGGGCCGCCTGCTTCGGTGCGTTGACGTAAATGACAGCGATGTATTGTACATTTCTGAATATGCAGCACTAAATTCCTTCCAATCACCAGAAAAGCAAAGCGGTTTACTTTTTGGCTTGTCACCCCTGTTGTAGCAGAACCCCAATTGACTGTACAGTCTGCTGGCTCAGACAGCTGAACAAAGAGGAATGTGGAATGGGCGGGACAATAACCCAAGCCAACGGGACATGCAGCCACTGCTATTCAAGATCGATGGCTTAGTGCGAGAACCGAACAGTGCAAACAACTCGGGGTTTTGTAAAGGCCGTTGGTAATCGTGCACGTGTGTCAAGAGCGGGGAGGAATACTGTAAGAACATATGAAGCATGAATGAAGTTATCAGTTGTCAACGTACACAAAGTTTTTTGTCATGCAGGGAAGGTTAAATTTTCGACAAGCTTTTTGTTGTCTTGTTTCTTGTTGTCACAACACTGTGCCACTTGCACAATTGTTCAATTTCCCCTTGTGGTTTGCTCTGTTTCAGTTCCTTTTGTGCCTCTCAGCAATTTTCCCAAGTTTTCAGTTGGCCAATGTTTTTTGGATGGTGCTACTGTCTTCAGCCTTTGGTACGGCCTCTATTTGGAGGCACAGTCTTTGTTAAAAAATATGGATTTCAGCACAAGTTCAAATGTTCACTCGTGTTAACCTCAAGTTTTCACAAACCACTCGAGGCATGTTAACCCACAAAAACAACTCTGGTCAGATTCTTGAAGCATCTCTCTTCCCTGAAGCTGCTTCCCACTCCTTCCTATTTCTTACAATTAATTTTTTTTTCTGTTAAGGCCAGTGTCGCCTAGGTGCCTTTGGTGTGCTCTCTGTCCTCAAACTCTCCTTGGGAGCTGCACGTGAACAGAATGGCTCTTTTTTTCTCTTTATTTTTTTTTCACAAGTCACAAGCTGTCTTTGTGTAGAGTATGCAGCCAACTTTGCATAATGTGGCAGTTATTACAGCTCCATGCTTCCAATCATGACAGTAAATGTTCCTGAGCTGTAAATCTTCCCTTGTATTTTGTTTAATGTTTAAGGGAAATTCTACTGGTCACTCTTGAAGTAGCTGGTGAGGATCAAAACTTCTGTGTTTTTCTTGAACCCGCATTGTCGTCAAATCGTATGCACACTGAAAAATATTACACCACAGGACCTTTCGTGCAATCGTTGTTGCAAAACTTTCATGTTGTAAGCATGACACTGTGTTTGCTAAAACGTCGTCCAAACTAATTCTTCGCTCTTTTTAAAAAGTTGAACTGTTGTCATCAAGCGTAGCACGATCACTGCGTACCCATGTGTGCGGGTTGTATCCTAAAAGATGACTTGCACAAGGAAATGAACCCGTTTAATGTCGATGTGTGTATCAGAAGACAAGTCAAGTTACACTCCGCGCTTCCCTCTCCCCAAACTCTATGTATCACTCTTTGCAAGCAACGAGCTATTTGCTACAAAAGCCGGTTTTCCCGAATAACAATGAGAACAAGCTGCATCACTTCTTCAAGGTTGACCGGGAGGGTTTCTTCATGTTTGTTTTCTCAGACCATTCGCAAAGCCTCATAGAGGATTGTGTCGTACTAATCACTCTTTTGTTTCTCTTGTAGTGCACATTTTTTTGTGCTGTATGTGATGAAATTTATCATTAAAAGTGCTGTATTCATTTTGAGTGAACATGTGCCCACTGCTGGCAGTTGTGTCTATTGATGTACGTATAATGCATTCGTAAGCAGTTCTCAAGTAACCACTTTGAATCACCTTGACGATGAACTTTCGAATTCTAGAATACTTCTTTCTAAAAATGACAGCAACAGATCTGTGTAAATAAAACATTTCAAAGGTCATTTCAAAGTCACACACTTGCCCTATGGGACGATTAACCTGTGTTGCTTATCTGCGTGTGTTTATATCTGTGCCACTGAATGGAATGAGTAGAGTTTGTGATGGGTGCCTCAGGTGTTTGCTTACTGTGATTCCTCGTTAAACAAGTTACAATACAAGGTCGCATTTTGAGGTTAAAAATGAACACGTTTTCTTTGTATATGTGTGCCAAGTATTCCTATTTTCTGATACTAGTAATCTGATAATGATGACTGTGGCATATACACAAATTTTAGTGTGTAAAATATGCATACGTGCAAGTCATGGAATTTTTATATGTGAAAATACGCCATTAGAGCAAAGCTTTGGTTAAAGTTACACAATAAACTGGTCTAAAGCTTTTTTTTGTCTCGGATTGTCAATGATTACAAATTCAAGACTCTAAACGTGTTTGCACAACATCGGCATGGCACAGTAAAGGAGTACACTCACAATGCCGCCCTTCTTCAAATGCAATAAGCCATTTTCTATAGAAGCTACTTCCTCAAACGAAAATTTGTAAGATTTTCAACTTTACTTCGAGATTTACCTGAACCACTTTGTCAAGTTTGTTTTCTCATCCTGATGGTGAGACATGCTGGAGGTTTGTAGCATGCCCGTTCAACATCCAGTATTTTATACCAATGCGCCCGGTGTTCAATGCTATTAAGTTAACTTGATAAGAAAAATCTGTCGGATGTTTGCGACACCATAGTTTACTTTTGGCTAAGGGCTCTTATTCCTAGGCACCTTGGCACACTAGCAGTTGTGAAGAGGAGGTTCTTGTGATCTTTGCGAGCATGTGAACAATGGTAGCCACTCGAAATTTTAAATGGTCTCAATGACAAGTTTATCCTAACTTATGTCTAGCTTGAGCTGCATTTTAGTGGTAAATATGCACATTGTAACATAAACTGTAAGGTAAGTCTAATGCACAGATTCTTAATGTTGCTACTACACCCAAAACACGTTATAACAGAATGGCATCTTGCAAGAAGTAAGTTCGTTATGTACAAAAACTCGTTGTAAAGGTTATTCTTAACATTGTGTCTATCACAAGACTGTTTTTCATTTATTTCATTATAAGCAATATTTTGTGATATCCGTGTTCGTTATATTGAGGTTTGAGTGGAGTAGAAATCGCTTTTTTGCATGCGACACTGTTGTCACACCTGCACAATGTCGGAACACCAGTTTGTAAAACATTGAGAGAACTTGTGTTACGAACAGCACAGCTGATTTTGTGCCCATGTTCTGTTTTAGTGCATGCATTCTCTAGCGATTTAAAGCAAAGGATCCCCAGATGTGAAATGTTCCCACACCCACCACATGGTTATGGCACTCGACTGCTAACCAAAGAGTCACAGGATCGAATTTTGGCAGTGGCGACTACATTTCAACACACACAAGATGCTGGGGGCCGATGAACATTAAAGTTTGGGTGGTTGAACTTGCTGGAGCCTCCCACTATAGCATCCATGATAATCATATTGTTTTAGGAAGCAAAGCGCAACAACTATTACATGTAAAGTCTCACTATACAAGCATTTTGTAGTGGCACTTCTGAACCTAACCATTTCAAGCTGTATTAGATTTAACCAAGTGCCACTTGGCTGTGCCAACCAGTTGAGGCTTTGAAACGGGCATCTTAGAAAGACCTCTGTTATTGCTATATGTTGTCTAACCAATGTTCTCTTGGGAAAATTATTTTAGTCCGTCAAGCATAAGTGGAGTTACTGGTAGTTACGCAGGTCGCGGGATCGAATCCCGGCTGCATTTCCGATGGAGGCGGAAATGTTGTAGGCTCGTGTGCTCAGATTTGGGCGCACGTTAAAGAATCTTAGGTGGTCGAAATTTTCGGAGCCCTCCACTATGGCGTCTCTCATAATCATAAAGTAGTTTTGGGACGTTAAACCCCATATATCAATCAATTACTGGTAGTTATTGCATGCTTCACTATTACCTTCTTTGGCAATGTTACATAGGGGGGAAACACAAACATAACAGAAGTTGGGGCAATGTGGTGGCTTGATTTAAGGAAAAATCGATTAACAGGGAATGTTGTTGGACCCGCTGTTTTGACGAGCAGACTTTTTCGTTGTTGGCTCAACTTAGCAGCTTGTTTATTTACACTTGCTCACTCTCTCCCAACCTCAACAGTCGAAGTGTGGGAAGGGAAACCATATGCAAAAATGTGGGAAACGAAAGAAACGGTATTCAGACAGATAGGTTGGCATGTCTAACGGGAGTTGTAGTATAGCTGGGTGAGGAAGTTACTTAGGTGTGGGGGTGGCAGGAGTGTGCAAGGCTCCACTCAAAATTTACACTGCAACACTTCACGCCTTTAGGCATTTCTTATGCCTTGTTTGTTTGTTTGTTCTGGAACATGCTGGCTACTACTACCTGGTCAGGAGTGAATGACACCAGCCTTTGGTGGTGCTTTGTAGTGTACTTCGTGCTGGTACCTTGTGGCGGAGGACTGTGCATTGGAAGAAGTTATGTGTAACTACTGTGCTGAAGCGTGAGCTTACGCACTCAAATGTGGCTGAGTTGAACTGGGTGTGGACCACCCTTGCTGTGCAGCTGCTTTACTGACGGAGGGTAGCCGAATCCAGGTTGTGCACTTTGAAGCACATTTGATAGGTTTAAAAATTGGGAGACCCTTAAGCTACCTACGCCTGTAAGAGTTGAACGCGATAGTGATATCCTGTCCCTGGTGTGTGTACTTAGTTCATAATGGCTTGTGTTGGTAACGTGAGTGCTTTCTATAGGGTGTGGCCCACTTTATACCATGAAGTGATGATAATCACATGTTCTGACGCCCGATCGCAATTTACGCTTGCACCGTGCATTATTACTGCGATATTACATATTGCATTGTAAAGCATATATACGGTATGCGTGCGTTTGCAAAGCATGGAAGTTACTTTCACTGCACTTCCTAGCAGAAGAAGTTGTTTTCACTGTATTTCCAAGCAGACCAGTGGCTCTGTGGTAGAACACCTTCTTGCCACGCAAGCGAACAGGGTTCAATACTCACGCATGCCCACAATGTTCATTATTTATTTTATTTGCATCTTTCTCAATTTTTCGGTCACACACAAGATAATTATTTCTTGCTCACAACCAACGACGACCGGAATTTCTGCGAAACGAGCTCTTTAACTGATTGATTGATATGTGGGGTTTAACGTCCCAAAACCACTCTATGATTATGAGAGACGCCGTAGTGGAGGGCTCCGTAAATTTAGACCACCTGGGGTTCTTTAACGTGCACCCAAATCTGAGCACACGGGCCTACAACATTTCCGCCTCCATCGGAAATGCAGCCGCCGCAGCCGGGATTCGAACCCGCACCCTGCGGGTCAGCAGCCGAGTACCTTAGCCACTAGACCACCGCGGCGGGGCGAGCTCTTTAACTCTATCACCTTAAAACAAAGTTTGTCTTTCGAGGCACGTGAAAGAGAGTTAGTGCATGGTTATGGAGAAAATATGCGAAGATGAGCACTTTCCAAGCTTGCTCAGTGCCAAATAACAAACTAAGGCACATTGTACTTAAATGACCACTCATTTACTGTGTCAAGTCCTACTTTGTGTGTAGGAAACAAACATAGACCACTACTAACTAATGCCAAAAGAGTTAAAGTGAAACATCTTGTGGCCTTTTTGACATTACAAGTGCATACTTTTCGTTTACTTATAACTTACCAATATTACAATTGCTAAGAATGTTTTCATATCAGTTGGTATTAATTGGGCTTGCTTACTCCTACTTAAAGTTTCACCTACAATTTTTTTTTTCCATCGTTTGCTGCTTGGTCCTTAAAATTGAGGACAATGCAGCAAGCTATGAAAAGAAAAATAATAGGTGTAACCTCAAGGGACAGGAAGAGAGCAGATTGGGTCAGGGAACATATGGGGGGTTAAGGATACCAAAGTTGAAATCTAGACGAAATGAATATGGGCAGGGCATGTGACACGTAGGCAGGATAACCCTCGGTCATTAAGGGTAACTTACTGGATTCCAAGAGAAGGCGAACAAGTGGAAGGGAGATGAAAAATTAGGTGGGCAGATGAGATAAAGAAGTTTGCAGGCATGATGTTGCAGCAGAAAGCACAGGTCTGGGTTGATTGGTGGAACGTGGAAGAGGCCTTTGCCCTGCTGTGGGCGTAGTTAGGCTGATGATGACGATGCTCCTACTTTGTATGTTGTGATTAGCTACATAACGAAAGTAAGAGCAAGCAATGTTCATCTGTTCCAGGTGCAATTTTTTTTAATTATCTGCTGCATGTAGTGCAGCAAATGGAGATCCTGCAGCATATATACAATGCCTCCATTGGCAACATTTTCATGACGTGGTCAAAAAAGTGTTGCAGGGCCCCTTTAATGGCTTCAAAGCGAATGCGAAAGCAGCTTTTTGCTCCGTTTGTTTTGTATATTATCTCTACTCTCAAAGCAAAGTTTTATTTGTTATAATTTTAACAATTCTGAAACTGCCCAAAAACATATGATTTAGACTTTTCTCGATAATAAAATTAAGATGGTAAATACTAAGACTAACTGGTGCGTGTGCCTAATCTCATTTTGTCTTACAACTGAAGGAGCTATTGCTTCATCCTAAATGTGGCTTGCACGAATCGGGCAGGGACGCCTGGGCGTTTGGGCGTTGCCTATTCTGTGGCCTTTATGAGAAGGCTATTGGCAAGTAGTTGACTCAGGTTGCCTGGAACACAGGCATGTGATTGAGTCGTGATTAAGTGACAAGATGCACCTAGAAGAACAGATTCATAGAGGATAACTTGAGATAATTTGCCAACAGTTATTTGCCGAGAATTACATTACAGTCAGCTGGCTATGAGGAATAGTTAATTTCCCGGTCTAAACAAATGTTGCAAGCAAGCATACGCATTTCAGAACCTAAAGAAATATATTTTCAAAAAAAAAAAGTCATGCTAAATTGTGAAAGAAATTATTTCCTACATCCATGGTTGACGCCAGACTGATTTCAGTATATTTCACTTGTTCTAAAATAACAATTTTAATGCTTCACGAAGTGTTTTCACCCACATATTTCACAAATATCTTACTTCATAAATATTTTATTTATTGAAATCTGTGGAAGTTTTGTCCAAGACGATCAAAGTAATTGCATGCGAATTGCAGAAGGTAATGCCACATGAACTTGTGAGGCAACAAATTGCTCTATGCCATGAAGCAAACACATTCAAAAGAAGCAGTAAAAATTTTTGAAGAATGTCTTCATGATATGCATGTAAACGTTTATGATCACAGCACTCCACTTTCAACATTGTGCCACTGTCTTCATGCAACCAAAAGTTACTCACCATAAAGTTAAAGCAAACATCCAAAATAGCCATTGAAATTTATCTGGAGGACTGTGCTCACTTCAAGAACACTTAAGACCTCAGTGGAGTAAATTAAGGTCAATTGCTTTTAGAAATCAATTTTCTGGCTTACGTATTATTGACTTAATTTTCTGTATCCTTCGTCCCGCACATCAGTTCTACCTGATGGCACGTACTCGGGGGAAACCTATACTACTTCCACCAGTTGATCAGATGTATGAAATAAAGGAATAATCCTTTCAAACAGGAGACACTTTCTGCAAAGATTTGAATTGTATAGAACAGCTGTGATGTTTTACTCAGCAGATATGCCAGCCAGACCAGCTGTCCCAGCGAAAAAGAGTACAGGGAGGATGGGCTCATTTTGTTCTTGCGAGAAATAAATGTCAATGTTGTGTCATATCTTTACAATTGTGTAGTGACCTTTAAATATTCAATTTAAATTTCATCGGCAGGTATGATAATGCACGTGTGCATAAAGCTCATGCTCCGGATGTCGAAGCCAGAACACTGTTCTTCCTGATTGCATCAAGAATTTAACTCTGGCTTTAACAGAGTCAACGGTCAGAATGAGCAACCAGTTGGCTTAGTCATTTTTGGAGCAAACGCAGCAAGCGAAACTTAGCGTGAGTCTGAAGGAAGAAGAATACAGCAAGGAAGGAAATGCAACAGGATGAGAGGTAATTGACATGGACATTTCCTTCTTTGGTGGAATCTCTATCCTTCGAGCTGAAACTGAGCTATGCGACATCGCTATGACATTATGATGCACCCATGTGCCCAATCTGCAATACTTGAGCGAAACGCAGTTTTGATTGCATCTCTTGTATCCTCCATGCGTGGGCCGCAGGACATCACAACGAAGCCTAGGATGATGGTGCAAATGCACATAAACTCACGCTCGAAATTGCGATTTAATTGTTGCGCTCTGATAAAGTGCCATACACAAACATATAGTGAATGTTTTGTTGTCCATATTTTAAGAGGGGGGGGGAAGGGTCAAATACTTTTTACGCGGGTTCATGTGTGTGTGCGTATGGGTGCATACATATGCATACACCCCACATCCCCCCTATTTGTTTTGTTTATTACGAAGGCTAAAGTTTAGTGCCTCATCAAATGGATGATTTTAGTGTTGGCGGCGTCAGCTTCAGCAGAAAGTGATGGAAAAAGAATTATGTGTTATGATGAGGTCAAGATAAATAAATAAACAATATAATAATAATAATGATAAATGCCATATCATGAGGCCAAGATCACCGAAATACATGACGTCATAAGACATCACGTGATGATGCTAATGAATCAATGCTCAAAGGTCGGTCGATTCATAGTGTTTAGAAAACTCCATTGAGTTACATACTATGGATATGGGCTGATCCTAGGGTGATATTCTGGACATTGTTGAATTTCACCATGTTGTCAGATTCCAACATTGATCACATCACTATCATCACATCACATCACTTTATTTCCTTAAATACCCCTCAAGGGGGTATTAGTACCGTATTACATAAGGGGTGGGTACACAGGGTAGCCAGGTGACTTCACTCGGTAAGATAGTTTGTTACTTTGTCCAAAAAGTTTGATGGATTAGTAATGGCTACAATGGTGTGGGAAAGGCCATTCCAATCTGTTGCTGCTCGGGGGAAAAATGAGGAGGAAAATGTGAGGGTGCGAGCACGCGGGTGTGACACTTCCAATTCATGTCCGCGGCGATGAGGTATGAGCGTAAGATGGACGATGTAAGGTGGATGACAGAGATCACTGTAATAAAATTTGTGGAATAATGATAGCGTGGTAATACGACGACGAAGACAGAGATTAGATAAACCGGTATCCGCTTTCAGTGACGATACGCTAGCTCGGTAATAATAAGTGGAATGAATGAATCTAGCAGCACGGTTTTGGACCGCTTCCAGGGCAGATACTCGCGATGCTAATTGGTCAAGTCAGCTGCTACAACCTCTATGATTGGCTTAAAATGCCGCCATTACGAAAACTGCATGAGGTGCGAAAAGTTCGCAGCACTTCCGAAGTTCCTTGAGGGAGGGGGGGGGGGGGCAAAGACACTCGACTGAGAACTACAAGAAAAAGGCTTACGCCTTCAAGTTATCTTAGGCGGATGCATAGTGTTTCCTACAACGAAACTTTATGGGCGAATCAGACTGCGTGACTTCTGTGGTAGTCTTGAAACCTGACTGACCTGGCTTTTATTGCGCCTTCCTAAGAACATTATTGTCATTTTGATTCGAACAATGCAGCATTAAATAGCTTTGAACGTACTTTAACAAACTATTATTTGTAGAAATCATCGACGTTAAAGCGGTACCAAACAATATTTTCACAAGACGAACGCTAGATTGTAAACTGTCAACTAATCACCATCGACATCAAAAATAACATCTGCGCACGGAGAAAAAAAAAAGGCATCTGCGTGTGTTTGTTTTGTTTTGAGTTTCTCCTGACGTGCTTCTGTCGTGATGCGTATAATTCTGACCGTTCAGGTGGGCGAATAGCTGCTGCAATAGCATTTTACTCTAAGAAAATGTGAGGTATCTCTCTCTGTTTTGTTTAAGCCGAGAAACACTGAGCAAGTGGTTGTATATTCGCATTGGGCAGCTGATTCCGCCACCAACTCCATTCATTTCCTCAGCTGTTCCACGAGAACTATTTCGCTAAACCACCCCGCGCTAGCACTTGAAATCAGCGCTATGGGTGCTACGATGTGTCCTTTATGCCAGAAAAACTCGGCCTACGTCGCGCTGTGCTTATGCTCGTTGTGGAATTAACGGCACAAGATGAGATGACTGCGCGCGAAACGAAACTGGAGATCGTCGCAAACTAAGATGGGCTCTGACTGCTTTGTATTTTTCAGGCGGCGCCCACAGAGTAAAACTTACAGTGGTCATCTAAGGAATCTGCGAGGGTATCGACAGCATGGACGCCAAGGGAGACTCCATCAACTTAGATTTAAGCCAACTTACTGGCGAGATTGTTGCTGTTGTAGATGAGGAGCAAAAGGGGTGAGTATATTTGCATAACACTCGGAGTTTCCGAATTACGAACTGCATATATTGTGTCAACGAGCAGATTCGCAGAGCACTGTGTTAGTATGTTCTACAGGTGGTAACTTTCGTTTAGGTCGTGTGTCTAACATGAATGACACGGCAGTGGTAATTTTTGCCCGTGCCACGTCATCGTGACAACATGAAAGTAATACAAGTAACGGGGTTGCCAATTTGTGTGGCGGTGTGAATTGATGTACGCCTCAATTATATAGCATCAGTCACATCGAAATCTTAACGCCTCTGGTTGAATGAGCGTAAGAACAGCATAGGTGAATAGCGTAGGTTATCGAGTGTGTGCCAAGAAAACTCGGTTGGCGAAAATATATCACCTGTTGTTTATCTGCTACTTTGGGAGGGATAAGATCTATCAGTCATTACCTGTTGACCTTAACTTTATATAATTTTGTAAAAGTTCCTATTTGAAAATTCTGAGAAACTAAAATGAGTCTTGACTTCCGCAGGTTTTCAGATAATGTATTTTTGAGGGCCACCTCATAGGCAGTCTCTAGCTGCTAAATAAAAGTATAACTAAGAAACTGGAAAAATATGTGTAAAATAATGTTGATATACAGTCACTGTGATAAAATAATAAAATCGGGAAAGCCATGACGTGATAGCCTCGTGTAAAGGCACACGATGATGTTTTCTTGCAAGCCAAGCTCTTTCATTTCCACTTATTCAAATATATATATATTTTTTTTTACAGCAAGCCTGGACTATTGCCAACCAGTCCTGCTGCCGCGAAGGAATGGCTCTCGCAGAAGAAGCAGACCATTCGTCCGTGGAAGCAGTTCGTGAACTTTAACCGATTCAGCGTGCCCAAGAACATTGGCGATGCATCCGCCAGAGTTGTTCGGAATGTGGAGCACTTCCAAAGCAACTACCTCTTCGTCTTCATTGGCCTCATTGTGTACTGTATGTAAGTTCAAAGGTTTCTGCAGGGAGACTTTCCCTTTTATTTTTTTATTTTTAAAGGTGAGAAAACTCAGTCAAGAAGCTTTGCAGAAGAGTGGTCCTCTGTAACCTGTGCATGGCTGCAAACACGTACATCTAATGCAGCATACACATTAAATACATCATTGCAATAGACAAATAAACTTGGAACTACTTTCATACACAATCAAAAGAAACTAGTGAGCAAACAATATCTGTACAAGAAAACAAAGAAGTGTCATATGTGATTAATGAATTGAAAAAAAGACCAGCAATAAATCCTATTTGTACACAGAGAACATAAATTTGAGCATGTATTGCTGCCGCAGAAATAAATGTTGATAATATGTTTGTGTTCATGTATACTGACTGATAGCAAAAACCTCAAATTTTCAATGAATGAACTGTGTGGATACATATTGCAAGTCATGGAAGAACAGAACACTTCATTGTTCCCAAATATAACGTTATACCAAATGTGTTCTCTTTACACTTAAGTTATTTAATACTCTTGACACGTGGGATATGCACCTCTAGAAAACCGTTAGCACCCTATAGTAATGGCTGTATGCATTTAATTAAACTGCTACATACAGGAGATTACAACTTCTTTAATTTGTTTGTGTTTCTGTACCTACGCAGGTTTCTGCGTTGAAAAGTCTACATGTTAAGAATGCTGAAGTTGCAGCAGTCTAACTACAATTGAACATGAATACACAGTACTTTGGCCATTATGTGACTTTGGGCTGTGTTGACACCATTACTATGCGAATAAACTTTCCTTTCCTCTGAAATATTAGCCACAGATGATTGCAGTAATATTGGTTATTTACACAATAATTATGTTGTTAACAATGCCATAGAAATTCGCACTTGTGGCAAGTACCACTACACGGGCTGCTGACGTATACAATTTTGTGTATTTTGATTGGTGTGATGGCTAAAGAAGTTTAACTCAGATTACAGTTCTGGCAGCAACCTTCATCACAACTTTAACCTTGCTTTTTTACTTGAATCATGGGTTCCTATGTTAAAGGATATTTTGAAAGGTCGCAGGCCTTGTTCAGTAGACTCACAGTAAACAGAAATCGCATGGAACTACTGCTGAAACGGAACAACTGAGTTTAATAAGACTGATTTCATACCTGAAAACTGCAACCTTGTTTATCTCCCAGTAAAGGAAGTTCCTGTTGATCGGAAAATATTTTGCGGTCCCTTCAGGTTGTGTTTCACGAGAGTCTATTGTATTTGATCTTCTTGGCATGCAAGTAAAATGATGGCAAGATTTCAACAGAGAGGGCGGGTGAAATTTTTTCATCTTTTTCATTCGGGGAATTGAAGTAAATGCACCTATATGTATGAAGCTCACTGAAGAAAATCTGGATGTATGAAGTTTTTATGAAGTTGAACTACAGAGGAGGTCGGCAAACAAACGAACCTAGAGGTTTAAAGGTTTCTAAATGCATAAAACACTTGATAGAAAGGTCCTGCCATCCGACAGTGTACCACAATCTAAAAATGTCGAGTATTTGGGGAGTGTTCCTGCTACACAACAATAATCATCTATTTCGAGTACTTTCCTCACATTATCACCACGGTTCTGGTAGTTGGCAGTCACAAACAGCGTGCGCGTTATCAGAGTGAAATAGCATTTCTGACAGGAAAGTGGCCAGCGCCGGGTTTTTAAGAAGGGAAACGCGAGCAAGTTGGATGACGATTATTGTTGTGTTACAGAACTACTCCTTGAACACTTCATTTTTTCTAAGAGTGAGTGCAGTGCTTGATTGCATAGAAATTGATAGTATACTGATGCACGTGTGTTTGATAAAGTCAACACACTGCAAATCTTTAGAAAGTGTTTTGAAAGACCATAACCTTCCTGCTTTCAGATTGACCTCTCCTCTCTTGCTGATTGCAATTGTGGCTGGTATGGGAGGCGCGTACATCATTCGCCTGAAAAGTGCCGAGGGGAAAATCAAGCTGTTCAGTGAGTTTTTCTTTTTTATTTCATTTTATCACTATATATTGTGACGACGCGGGATCGACGAGCACACAAAGCACCCCGAACAAGTACGCTTTATCGATCACAGGACAAAGACTGCAACGTCTTCTTCGTCTCTGCTCGGCCAAGGACACTCGCGCTACTTCGTTGTCACCGCCACTGGCACATATGCGCGTCATTATCCCTCTTTTAAAAAAAACATTGCCCCGATATTAAACCTTTGAGAAGCAAGGTAAAACCAAAACTGCACCGTTAGTCACTGAAAGTAAGGCTTCATACGAAGCACGTGGACAATGTCTGGTGAATGTCTGCGGCGCTTCGAACACTGAACGCCGTCCGGAACAACCTGGTAGTTGACGTCACTCATGCGTCGCAGAACCTTGTAGGGTCCGAAGTACCTTCGCAACAGCTTTTCGGAGAGCCCACGCTGACGAATAGGTGTCCAGACCCACACTTTGTCGCCCACGTTGTATGTGACTGTTCTATGCCGGAGCTTGTAATGTCTGGCGTCATCGTCTTGTTGTTTGGTTATTCGCAACCTGGCAAGTTGTCTGGCTTCCCCTGCTCGCTGGGTAAACTCTTTGACGTCAGTCTCATTACCATCATTTTCATGAGGGTGCATCGTGTCTAACGTTGTTGTAACTTTGCGTCCGTAAAGGAGACTGAAGGGTGTCTTCCGAGGGGTCTTCTGACGAGCCGTGTTGTATGCAAACGTGATGTAGGGCAATATGTCCTCCCAGTTCTTGTGCTCTACATCTACGTACATGCTTATCATATCAGCCAGTGTCTTGATGAGACGTTCAGTGAGCCCGTTGGTCTGGGGATAATAAGCCGTTGTCTTCCTGTGAGCTGTACAATTTAGTCGGAAAACGGCGTCTAAAAGCTCGGCCATGAACGCAGTACCTCTGTCGGTGATGACTATTCCGGCACATACGCGCGTCATTATTGTCACTGCACTCAATCGTTGACTAAGTCTATCTCTTTGTGAAACGGTGTTGTGGCATTGGAGCAATGCTTGTCATCAATGAATGCATTGATACTTTGTTTACAGAGCAATGGGTCTTTTGAGCAGTTATGGTTACAGTTGAGCACAAAGGAAAAACTTATAGTGCTGCATTGCATACATGCAAGGCTAGAGGCCAAGCCATAAGCAGACGTGCCACATGCATCCACTTTGAGCAGATGTCATGTGTATGCTCGAAGCTTTAATTACTGCATGTGCGAATGCCACTTTTGTATACCCTCAATACCATAAGAGTTGCAGGGGATGATGGTTGCGAGTGTATGTGGAGCACGAGATGAAGCCCTAACTTTTTGTAATGAAGAAAACCACAGCCTATCTGGGGCCTTGAAATGCCAGTTGAAGAGCATTTTTTTAATTTATCAAAAGTATTTTCTTAACCTGTATTTATTGCTCATGGACTTACATATTACATATTACATTACATATTATTCACACAGACCCTCTATTGGTGTTGGGAGCTAATGCTTGACAAGGCAACATTTCATACTTTGCTAACCTGTTTGTTGCCATGCAAGCCATTGACATAGATTGAAAAACTACTCTTGGTCTCTTGTAACAAAGTATTGTATGCAACACATTGCGTAGAATTCATGTTTCGCTTGAGTGGTCTGTTGATTTCTGCTAATAAAACACAATGTATACTCTATTTCACAAGCCGTTAGCACTTATGTGCAAGCTGTGTGTTCACAACGCTACTTTTAGTTAGCATAGTGTGGGAATCAGTGGGCTTTCGTGACCCTCTTATTGCTGATCGAATGAAGCAGCATGTTCACATCTTGCATGTGTAGTTGAAGTATTCATAATTGGCAACCTTGTTTAGTAAGACAATAAAAAGATGGTCTGGTATTTGCGTGCGTCGCTGGCAAAGGTCGTCAATCTTCTGTCTGGAGGTAAAGTGAATAAAAAGTTTATTTTTGCCATTCTGTGCGAGAAAATCGGTGAGTGAAATATAGACGCCATCTGGCAGTAATTTCAAGCAACGGAAATTTTTCTAGAAGGCAGAGCCACTGGTAGGTGGCAGCACTGTGTCATTTTAGTGAAGTGTAGGAACCACCCGCTTTTTCATATAGTGTCGCATTGTTAATGCAGAAGAATAAGCACTGTGGTCTTTGGAATTAGTACATATTTATGCATATTAGAAACAAAGTAACACAAGCTTAATACTTATGTATTGATGTTTATCTCGAATATGCGTAATACTTGCTTTTTGCTCGACAGTCTTCACTACATAAACGCAGCAAGCAGATCAAAATGGCTGGGTGTTGAGGAAGTGCTTAAACTTTCGCAGCGTGATTGAATCGTGTGGCAGACAGACCAACAGAAAGACAGACCAAAATTTCTGCGTTGAAGTATTAAAAAAAAGACTATAATCTTTCAAAACGTTGTTTACTGCGCTAGATGTATGAATATCTCGCCTCAGTGTTGTCTTTCTTTGCAATCATTTTTGATATCACATCAAAATGTTTGTTAACATTTTATAGTTAAAATAAAGTTAAAGGCACACCTTAAGCAGTTATATAACTGGAACTCGCCTTTTTATTAAATGCAGCCAATCTGATTTGAATCAGCTTGCAAGGTTCCTAATTAAGTTATTCCTATGATTCTAGCTTGTTTGAATAAGGATGGGCTAGGGCTGAAGAAGTATTTCACTCATAGTGCTATTCATTACAGACAAATAGTATAGTGGTTACCGTAGCTGTTAATGTGTATAGCGTCATGCAGTAGGTGCAAAGTACCGAACGTCTGGGCTTTATGTGGTCCTGTAGAATTGTAGAACTGGGAAGAATGCATGAAAGTGTGAAGTTAGCTTGCAAGTTTTTCAACTGCTGTTATGCCGGTTTTTGTGACACCGTGATTTTACATTGCTCTTGAAGAGCCTGCAATCGAACAGCAGCTTAACTTTAGTTTAGCTTAACTTAGAACAGCAGCTTAACTTTGTTTTTGATTATTTTTCTTTGTAGACAAAGAGCTTACCGTGATCCAGCAGTACTGCATACTGGGCATGCTATGCTTTCCGATATTCTATGTGGCCGGAGCCGGATCAGCTGTCTTCTGGGTCCTTGGTGAGAAAATTGACATTAGCTGCAACCTAGGCGTTTCCAGTCATTTGTTTTTTTAATGGCGAACATACGTAGCAAATAATGAGTGCATAATCAGTGCGACATATGTCGTCAAGCAGAAAAGCGCAACGCCAGCTCGGATTACTATCTGTGCATGTACATGTGCTTACATTTTAATGAATTTGAATCGCAGTGAAGATGTTGCATTCCTTTTGTGATTGCACACACAAAAAAAAAACTTTCTTGTTTCACTGTTTGTTATTCAATGTAAATGCACGCAAGTTTGTCTTAGAGTCCAATTGACTCTGGAGTGCCGCAAAGGCAGCATCTTAGGAAACAGAAGCCAATAAGTGCTGTAATACAGAGAAAGATAAATGCCCGTAAAAATAGGGAGAAATGGAAAACTCAATAACAGAGTCAAGACTAACAAAAAAAAATGTCACAACAGCAGGCAGCAGACATTAGTGGATTAATATTTATTCTTGCTTAGGCATCATTTAGCCAACAATGTGTTAGTATAATATGACTAATATGACTCAACAGAGTCTACATTGTTGGACATCCCCATACCACTTTACAGAAGAGGTTCATGAAGATATTGTCTGCAGGAAAAAAAAATCACCACCATATCCACAAAATGAATGCTGTTAGAAGAGCTCGCTCGGAGGTGCATGGGGCGTTTCTCGGCAAGACCATTTCTGTAGGAAAGCTTGTTGACGAGCCGGTGCATGATGTGTATATTAAAGGCAGCATTGTCGGGCACGTTCCGCGGCCAGCACTGCACAGTGTTGGCCACATATATAGGAATGTTAACCACTTGCCCCTTTATGCCATACTGGCCGCTGTCACGAGTCAAATGCCTAACGCTCATAAATGGCAGACGCGGAGCTATCAGGTGTTTTTCAAATGGGTTGAGAGCATGCAGGTGAGTGGGCTTGGGAGGATATCGGTACCCGTGCCCAGCGCTCATTGTAGGAATATATCACTTGCTCCCATGCCTACGATGGACGAAAACGAAGTGGACATAGTCGCAACCAAGTGAGCGCGCAGGCCATCGAAATCCGACGCCTCGGGTGGCGGTGCGAGAGTAGGCAGGTGATTGGGCTTGAGAGGTTATCGGTACCCCTGCATAACACTCATCGTAGGAACTTTTCACGTGCTGCTGTGTGAACTAAGTAAATGTAGCCGTGAGGAGGCGAGCGTGCGGATCATCGAAAACAGACGCTTTGGATAGCGGCGTGTCATCTAGTGAGCATTGTTGAAATCACCGCAGTGGCGACCCGAGAAGTGTACAGTCGCAACAGTGGTGTACACGCCGGCAGCCGTCGAACATATCGTAAGCTTTAAGACAAAAAAATCAAAGCCTTAGTTGCAAGGTAGGTGAAGTGTACTTCGTTATTTTTTTTTCTTATAGCTTGACTAAGTCTGCAAGTGGCATGGTATTCATAGCTGCTTAATAGTATTTCATTTTTGACACAAAATGCATGCTTCGATTCAGATATAAGCGTTACCTATCTTGCCCCAGCATGTGGCAACTTATCTTCTCTGGGGCTTCCGTCATGGGTGCTCAACCACTCATGGTCGCCAAGATTAAGTGAGCCAGGCATGCAAGATAGTTTTTATTAGACTTCTGTACATAATAACTAGTCTGTTTTTTTTTTTATTGCATTAGTCATCCTACGCTCTTAATATGTCAAATGACTCAAATTGCGACCAATGTCATTTATTCTTGCTTCTCCAGGTGCCTCTTTCTTCACGATCATGCTGCATGCAACAACATATGCCATTGAAGCATCACCTGCTGATGAAACCTTCGAGTTACAGACAGTATAAAACAGATGCTAGAGCAAGAGAGAAAGAAAAGGCTGGTTACCCATCCTACTCCTGGATTCTAATGTGCAGAGTACAGGATACCTTCTGATTGTGAGATGGCGAGGGTATCAGAAAAAATTGCACTGAATATCGAGAGAATATTAAAAAAATTGTTTTAGCACCTTGGGGTGTTTTTGTACTTTTTCAGCAAACACATTGCTCTCTCAGAATAACCTCTAACACTTTAGGCTTGAAGGCTTCATCGAAATTGCGTCAATGCATGGTCACTATTCTTGACAAAGAAATAGCTATTTTTCTTTAAAGCAACTGTGCCTGTGCATTCCTAAGTGTTGGTGTATTTTCAATGTATAAATGCACGTGGTCAAGTTCAAATAAACAATTCGTTGAAAGTTAGAGCCTGTATGTGTCACGCTTTGCCTTGTCCAATCTTTACAGGTAGGTATGTGCCACACTCTTGGAACTCAAACACATTGTGGCTATCGGAAAAAAATCCTTGAATTACTGAATTCTCCAACAGGTTTTCTTGTAATAACTGTTGCCTAGATTGCCAACAGAATGAGTGACCATGCAGAACAGCTGTCACCACTTGGTACCAAGAAGCAAATTTAGTTTTTCTGGCAGCCATGAAGGCGTTTTTGGTCATTGAAAAATACTATTTACGTGAAGCGATAAGGGGCTAATGCTGCAGCAAATTGAGTGTCTGCGATGTAGTCCGTGTGTGGAAAATTGTTTATGGATGAAGAAAATAAAAATTGGGGTTGAAGCCAGAACCATACCAGGCGCATGGTTTCGCACTGCCTCATGTAAAGGAGGCATTGCAAGCCTTCAGCACCTCACTTGCCTGCGAGATTCGCCTGCCTCTGTCTAGTGACGACTTTATGAGATGATGGCGTCATTGGACGGCACATTGTGACATCGCTACGAATTTATGATTGCATCTGGAAGTGACAATATATCGTGATAATCTTTTGCACCACTCACATTCACGAAGACGTTCACTTTTTGTATTACCATCCTGCTACCTCTTCCTGTACGAAAAATTTCGAGAACACCTTACGAGTAGGGTAATTATCCTAGGGTTGGCAACTCTGTGTGAAAGCCAGCAGTCTTATCTCAGGGCTGCACCAGTGCTTGAAATCGCTAACGCAAAAGACCCTGAACACCTGGTTGCTGGGGGAAATTTGAAAAATAGCCAGAACTTAAGCTATCAAATTGCCAAATGTAGCTATAGTATTTAATTTTAACATCAAGTTTGTAGCCAAGTGGAACAGGAGCAGTATTTTGAATATATATTTTATTGTCAAACAACAACATATCATTTTGCATAACCAAGACATTGAAATAAGAGCTCAGTTCTTCCCTCCTGTTGCTTGGTCGTCAAGGCGCAGGTAAGTCGCAAGTAAGAGAAATTATTATAAATACTGTTTGCCTATGCAGAGTTTACATAGGATAAGAGTTCTTCCTTGAAACAGTTATTTTTCAAATGATAAGGAACATAAGTGCAGTGTTTTTTTGAAGCCACATACTGAGATTGATTTGTAGTTACGATGATACCAGTACGGCTTCAAGTATTGAAATCTTGAAGAGGAAGAGTCCAGCTTCATTCCTTCATGTCAAGTTCACACGAGAACACGCGCTGTGCACTAGCAGTGCAAATTGGTATGCAGCAGCAGCTTCGATGACAGGGGCAGCATGACCAGCATGCTAGCCACACATATGACAACAACCACGTGATTTCGTCACTTTGTCTTTGCAGGATGTGTATGCGCATCAGCTGACACGACGGTAAAGCTTAAAAACAACCTATTTTATTTGCAAATAGCGCGCAAAATGGAGACTGAATGTACTAAATTAGAAGCTCAAAGTAGCCATGGAGACTCAGTCGTAATGTAATCACCAGTAGCAGCCCTGCCTATGCATCTTGTCGACAAAGCCTCCCTGGATGCCGCCATTATCCGCTTTGAGCTGTCAACATGCATGACTCCACAAAAAAACACGGCATATCCACGAAGTGAATGATGATGAGTGGGCGAAGCAGTGGCATTGTTCGGTGTTATCGCCCCGCCGCGGTTGTCTAGTGGCTAAGGTCTCCGCTGCTGACCCGCAGGTTGCGGGATCGAATCCTGGCTGCATTTCGGATGGAGGCGGAAATGTAGGCCCGTGTGCTCAGATTTGGGTGCATGTTCAAGAACACCAGGTGGTCGAAATTTTCGGAGCCCTCCACTACGGGGTCTCTCATAATCATATGGTTGTTTTGGAATGTTAAACCCCACATATCAATTAATGCAGTTATATAGAATGTTTATTAGTCATAAATGATATATACAATGTTTATTGGTCATAAATTATATGTTGTGTTGGCTTGGGAATTCTGTTTTGCCTTAATGATTACCACTTTGCGATACCAGATCTAGCCTGACATTGGCAAAGACGACGTCCCTGCACATCCCCCAGTGGTTGTTTCAAGTCATACGAAGTGCATTGTAGACCATACAAGATGTCATATACTAAACAAGCCGTCGTTGTCCGTGATAATTATCGTCATCAGTGTCATCATGGCTACGCCGCACGCCAACACCGCCAACTTACAAGCCTTGACCTTAAGGAGCTTCGCCCCCAGAATGCACCGCCAAGGCTATGATGTCAGCTTTTGTACTCCTGTGAAACAGGTAAGAAAGGAGGTGATCCCTCTCTTCACTGAAAATGTCTATAGACGATTTTCCACAGTGGCGCACGGGCACTGTCACTTTTGAACACGTGACCGTAACTGGCCTTCTCCCATCCAGTTGCTCTAGCCCCAATCAACCAATTGGGCCAGTGAAATGCCCACCGTGATCGTAAGTGCCAGTGGGGCTATAAGCAAACGTGGCAGCACCCATGTAGACGAGACCGCCCGCTTCGATCTTAACTCACGCTTGCTACTCGCTCACCGTCTTCACAGCAATAAATAAATGATGAAGTCAACTGTCGCTTCAAGTCATCTCGTGCTGAGGAAAAATCATCAGGTATGTTCTGTCTTTATTGCTGGGATTAGTGGTGTTTACTTAGCCATGCATTCTAAGCCTTGTATCTGGCAATTTGAGAACGAATTTTAAAAACACTGCTAAATACAGACGAGCATACGCTGCTTTTGAAGCTTTAGGACGTAAATATAAAGCCAATAAATGCGTTAGTAGTAAATGTACGAGCCACACAGCACAAAACGACTTGATAAGTTTGAGATGGAGGGAAATATCACCCACAGGTGCCGCCGCATCGACATTCCTGGCTCTGCCGCCTGCTCGCTTTTACTCTTGCACAAAGACGACATGATGCGGATGAAAACACATTGAGCAGTGCGATGCTAAAAGCTATGGTAGGGAGACGACCATGCGGTGGGGACATCTAGCTTGGACTGAACAAGCCGGCTGCGGAAAATCGTCTATAGAGGCATCCATCGGCTGAAGAGTCATGTTTGCAGCTATAATAACGCGTGGCCGAAACATTAAATTGCACATCACACCATGCGAATTGTGTTATGATTGGGTGGTCTAAAGTTGCCGATCTCTTATGAATGACTCAGCCATAATTAGTCATCAGCCAAAGCATCAACCACGTGTGCAGCTACATCGGTGCATGTAGCTGCACACATGTATATAACAGCACACATGTGTGCATGGGAGCCTTACAGATGCGTAATGGATAGAGTGAAATAACATGGGTGCATGTAGCTGAATACTTAATGGGTGTCTTATAGATGTGTGGTGAGTACATTAAGTATATACCTGCAATTTACAGTGGTCATTATCACATGCACACGTTTCTTTTTCCATGGCATGGTTGAGGTGCCCATCAAAAAGTGAAGTATGTATTACATACCACTCTTAAAAGACTCAAGCATTCTCGAGTTTTTTTTTTTTTTTTCAGCTCACTACCATCCCTCTGTGAACCCTTTTTTTCTCACTTGAATAAGGTTGTTCTCTCTCCAAGCTGTGTAGCAGGTTCAGCCAACTATTGGTAGTTGAAGTCATTATTGAAGGGAGTAGTACTTGCACATACTAAATATCAGAAATAGTTCCAATTTCACAATGAGGAGTTGATTACTGTGGAGAAAATGAAGGTGAAATTTTAATTTTTTTTTATTTTGTAACAGTAGACAAATAGTAACATAAATTTTGGTTTTGAAGGGCACTTGAAGAAGGAAAGACCTGGTCAAATAATTTCTCATTAAACAGCTCAAATACTGCATATCACATATTATAAAGAACCAAGAGCGTGTTGTCATGAGCCACCTTACGTGCACAATACGTTTAGGAATTAGCAGAACCAGAATAGTATGAATGTCAATTTTTTGGTTCAAACCAAAAATGGAAGTGACTTTAAATAGTAGCAGGATTTCAATAGTGATAGGGTGCAATTTATGAGAAGTAAAATATGTTACATTCTAAAATTTACTACATGTGGCAGTTACACATAAGCTGTTTCAAACTTAAAAAGATATATAAGCAAGGCTTAGGCAATGCAGCTCAACCTGGATATATCGAACTGATATATCGAACCTGGATGGATCAAAAAAAAATTGCCAGATCCCACGCACAGCAGGAAGCAAAGCACGAATGAGGAAGGTTGATATGTCACTTCAAAATCAGCACAATGTTACGAGGCGGACGTAAATTTTGTCATACATGAATTCTTCCCTATCATGATTGTCATGTTTCGATGTGTCATTTACCTTCGTAGTCTAGTCACGTCATGTAATACCAAATTTGTGGACTTGTGCGAATATCTGAATGCTTCAAATATTTGAACGAATAATACAGTATTCGAATTTGCTTCGATTCGAAAATTATTGAAAATTTTGAAGTATTCGCAATGAAGGAATAGGTGTGTATTAGTCCGCATGTAACTGCCTGTAGAGGTGGTTTCATTGCAGAGTAGGGGTGCTAAACAGTGAAAGCACTTAACCAAGAAAAACCCACTTTGCCATAAAGCCCCACTACAAATCTAAAAGGGCCCTGCAACACTTCTTGAGCCTAGTCAGCAATCGCTGCCTATCACTAGTCAAGGCTACTGAGCCAAATAGAATTGCGCGGCACACAGCCTGAAATCGATAGTAAATTCTCAGTCAGCTAAAAATTGCTTTCTTTTCACTCAACAAATCATGGATGAAGCTCAAAAATTACTCCTCACAGCTATTGTATCAGCCATTGGCTGACTTGAGCATGGCACGCTCGGTCGTTCCTAGGGTCATCGTAGAAGGCTGCGACTTGTCCACGCGAACGTGCGCGATCGCACTAAAAATCCGCGTAATCGAAAAAAAAAAAATTTGAGAGAGAAAAAGTGCTCAAGGTTACGAGGCACGTGTGACATATTTTCTATCGCCGCGCCATTGCTCCCTGCTTAGCTGCCAGTGCTCACGTTGGGACAAGACAAGATAAAATGCGATTGAAGCGTGCGACAAATTTTTGCAACTCTGCTCGTACTGGAAGCATTCTAAATATTTTTGCGGCGGTGGATTCATGAGGCAATAAGCTTCTTTGGTGAATCGATTTCTTGGCTACTTGAAAAAGTGTTGCAGGGCCTTGGTAAATGAACATATTACCCTCAAATCAATTCCTCATGTTTTTTTAAGCCTAAAAGCTTGTTATGCCGCCTTATATTCGAAGTATAATAAATTTTAAAATGTTACGTATTTTGGAGGTTATCACTTGCATCCTACAAAAAGTCGAATTCTCCTACAACTCAAAATTGTTACGACTTCCTTTGAACGAAAAAAAAAAGCATTTGCATATACGCCTAATTTCAATTTATAAAAAATATTGTGCAGGCTAGTTAGGTCATTAAAAATATGCCCATTTTTCTTTAAATATCATACATAGTATTCGAATTTGATTCAATATTATTCAACCAAGATCACTATTCACTTCGAATTTGCTTTCAACTTAAATTTCACTATTCGCACAAGCCTACAAATTTGGTATATGTGGAGCTAGCGAAACGGCAACGAGTGCGTCATGAGCATAACAAGTAGTCATGTTCTTACAAGACACACATATCACGATTATCATGTTTGCACCAGTCATATACCTTCGTTGCCCGTTAGCGTCACGTAATACCAAATTTGCTGTATGTGAAGCTAGCAAAACGATCACGAGGGCATCATGATCGTGGCATGTAGTCATGTTCTTACATGACACGTTACATGACACGCATGTCATGATGATCATGTTTGCACCAGTCATACCTTCGTCGTCCATTCACGTCATGTAATACCAAATTTGGTATATGTGAAGCTTGCGAAACTACTGCAAGCACACCATAAGCGCACGCTCATGGTGCACTCATGTAAGTCATGACTTGCATGACATGCATGCTATGATTTCCATGTTAGGACCCGACAGTTATGTTCACCATGCAGTCATGTCATACGATACCAGTTCCGTGATATTCATGTGAACAAACCCACCGCAAGAGCAGCAAGACTGACATGTAAATCATGACATACATGTCATGATTTTCATGTTATGACTAATCACTTATGCTCGTCATACAGTCATGTTATGCCATACCAATTTTGGTACCGATACCATTATCGAAACAGCCAGGAGAGCTTAATGTCGTTGGTGGCTAAGTAGATAGATACGCTCAACGTTGCCAAAGTTCACTAAAAAATGTTTCGCATTTAAATTATATTTAAAGAGATTTTACAATTGTTCAACATTTATACACACAATAATCCATTATATCTGGGCTCCATATATGCAGATTTAACTTTACGAACATTTAATTTTAGATTGAGACCTGGCAGCAATGCTCGTTTTCTTGGACATGTGGTTTTATAGCACAGCTACCCTACTGTGCAGTGAAGCAACCTTTTTAGAAGCTTACGTACGATAAGCCAATATCAAAACAATGATGTAGCCTATATCGAGACAAAGTGAATTAATTATGCAAATGTTCATGGGCTGCATATAACAAGGGAGAAAAATTGTACAAGACCGTTAAAGGGCCCCTGCACCACCTCCGATAATCTAAAAAAACTTTTCAATAAATATGCGCATCGTGTTTAGAATGCCATCACGATCAACAATGCCAAATGCAGCAGCACTACAAACCACAGTCACTCCGAAAATTTCAAACACAATCCTTTCTCCCCTACATGCCTCTCAACATTCCTTGTCCCCTCAACGTTCACTATGACGTCAACGAGCCGTCTGCTCCTCAACTACAACACCTCATCCACCTTGAACGGTGAGAAGGAACACTCGGCCAGAAGAAGAGCCGAGAGAAAAAAATAGCGAAAGAAAATAAGGCATCTTTCGTATCATCGATCGCGTGTAACTCCACTATAATGGAACAGTACCGAAAAATTCTCATGGATATGTGTTCGCTATGTACTCGTGCACAACTGCAACATCACAATTAAATTTAGACCCCCGGACGGTTCAGGGGCCCTTTAATGGGTAGTTTTAAAAACAGTTCGACCTGACTCTACTGTGCCAGAGATACCATGATGATGACATAAAGGTTAGTTTATACAGTTTTCATGAACTTCAAGGTTCTTTATGACTGGCTCTTATTAGTTTTTTTTCTTCTTGAACTGACAGAGTTTTGTTACAGTTACTGGCTGACACTACATTTTCTTACCAAGGCGTGGCACATTCACTATGCATTACTGTATTCATTGAAATCATAGCCTAGCACTTTTAGAATATGCTCTAGCCTAATGTTTTTAGAATGTTCTCTAGCCTTACTGATAAGTGAATGGCAAAAGCATGCAAGAGGCATAGTCAACGGTGCATAGACGCCTTGTGAGTGCCATATGTATTCATTGAAGTCGTAGCCTAGCACTTTTAGAATATGCTCTAGCCTAATGTTTTTAGAATGTTCTCTAGCCTTACTGATAAGTGAATGGCAAAAGCATGCAAGAGGCATAGTCAACGGTGCATAGACGCCTTGTGAGTGCCATATCTTAATTACAAGTCAACTAAAGCAGGCTGTTTCTACTTTTCTATGTGCTAGCAGTTTGCCACTTTCAAAATATGAACTTCTTTTGGCATCCTATTTATAATACAAAAAGCAAAAAATTTGAAGGGCTGCCGGAATGAAAGTTTTTTGTTAGTATTAAAACGCTTATATATCAGAAGGATGAAATTGTGAGGCCCAGCAGGCTAAGAGATAAATTGATGTAACCATGTGAACTAATATTAGACTGAACACGAGTGCGTCTAAATCCTACACGTTCCAATCACTGAAGCAAAATCGCATCTGCCAAAAGTACCTTTGTTATACAGAATATTGATCAGAAGCTTGTATCAGTTACACATAGAAGTTGGCAGGCATGAAATAATGCAGGATTCGTTGTATCCAACAATTTGCAACATTCACACTTTTTGTATTGATGTTTGGCTGTATTAGCAGATGACCATGCATAACAACAGAATTAAGTATCAAAATGTCGATACAATTTCCACAGTAACATAACAAAACAAGATTGCATATTTTCCAACTCAGAGGAGAGACAGCCGCAACGCACCCACTTTTCCTTCATTGAATGATATGAAGCATTGGAGAGTGTTGAACAAAGGCACAGCTTAGAACAATTTATGAAAAGAACAGTTAAACATAAGGAAACAACCTAAAGATTTGTCTATACTCAGTGGTACGTACAAACTGATATGTACAAACTAGTACGTACTGGTGGCTTTTCTGCCAGTGGTTCATACACATTTGTCGAGTTCCATCATGTGACAGTCAACGTTTGTGAAGAATAAGATACATTCTATGAAGGTCACGCAATGACATGGAATGTATGAAAATGTTTAGAATGTGTAATGACTGCTGCTAAAGTAGCACGCAGACACTCACAATGGTGTCGCAATGAAAACATACAATGGAAGAACAGTACAAAGCAGCTGCAGTTATAACGTGCACTGCATTCTGACTGCAAACACCAGTGATGGAAGAATTCACAAACACTTCAGTTACTAGTTGCAAGAAGCAAAATGTGAAGTGTACCATAAAGAAACCCCGAAATTATTTGGCAACTGTTGACAGAGATTCACAAGCGGCATGCCATGCTTTTGAAGCCAGGTGCATAGCACCAGCATTTTGTTCCTTACTGCAGAACAGTGCACAAAGTTTACAAATATGAACCTTTGCAAAGCGCACTCCCACAATCACATGCTGCATGATTACTCACAGTTTACACCATTACCCTTTCTTTTTCTATTACCAGTGCACCACAAAAGTCACTAAGAATAAGGCACTTCACTTTATGACATACGGTTCACTACTTCCCTTATCAAGGTATGCACTTTCATTACTGCACTCATGTGATACCTACTCGCACAGCCTTGATGAGCCTTGTATGTCAGGATACAGTGTCCGTCGAAAGTTTCAAAGCCACTACATGCATCACTGTAGCTGTCCTGGGGTCAACCAGCTGGATTCTTTGTCACTGAAAATTGCCTGGAGCTGAGAAGCAGTGCCCCTTGCCTTATTGTTGGTATAGCAATGCTACACAAGCATTTGCACGCCACCCTCGGAATCGAGAGTTTTTAACAAACTCTTGCAGTAGTTTCCAAACTTGTGACAAAGGCTGGAAGGGTAGGATAGCAGTCTGAAAGATAGACCTCGCATTTTCACCAGCAGCTTCGATTTGCATTTACAGCTGTACAAAGCAGTAATTAGCATGGTTGGTAGCAGAAGAGGCAAAAGTGTTTCCACGTAATCGTGAACTGTATATTGGTCCCATCAGATGATGGCAAACTTGCTCAGCAGGCATAATCAAGAATACAGTGGTGTAAAACACTCATACACGATGACCACAAAGGTTGTAACAAGGTATATTGTAGGAAGTTTTCAGTATGAACATCTTACAGCCACATTCATTGCAGTAGCAAAAAAATCTCGAGCAATGTCAGCTATAAAAACTGGCACAGCATTTTTACTAACCATGACACAGCTTTGATAATGCTATATTTTTTTCTGCCAGTATAGGCAAAGCAGAATGTTAATTTGGTTTTGCACACACCTTTCACTAATAGTACACTGGTATGTATCATGCTCCAGGTGTTGGCTAATAAACAATATTATCAGAGAAAAAAAGAATAACTGGGGAGGAAGCCATCACTACAACACTTGTTAAGGAACACTTGTACTCGCTGTCAAACTACAGCTAAAGCAAATTTACATCATAAAAAAATAAGCATCTGTCATGACACACAAACAGGGCTTTAGCTTCTCAAATGACTAACGACATATGTATGTAAAGGCTTTTACAAAATTATGCAGTATTTTGCTGGTTTGATTTTGCATCAGAATTTAAATAGATAGGCTGTCGCAAGTGACAGCCATTGAAGAATCAGCAAGATGATTCTAGCTCAAACAGAAAGGAGCACTTCTTGTTTTCTTATAACTCATAGTTTTATCAGATTGATGCCATGATTGTCCACTATACGCAAGTTTCTCAATGACACATTTTTGTCTCTATTTCTGTTTGTACAGTAGGCACTATTTCTTAAGTTAAAAACAAATAATAAAGAGTGACATATGTATGTAAAATGTACAATTAAGGCAGCATCTTCCCTTCCATGTCACAGGGAAAGAAACATGCTTTATAGGTAAACGACCATTAAGAGCAGCTGTACATAAAGGCTCCTCATCAAAGAAAAATATGCGTGTAAGGTGACAGCACACATATAATATACAACACGCTCTCAGTTTTTCTTTTTCCTTTCACAAAACTTGTTCTATTGAGAGTACCTGTACAGAGCCCTGGGGCAACACAGTTGCTAACATACATCCACGACAGTTATTCAAGTCTCTTAAGAAAATACTCAAAGTGGAAAAGACATTAAAACAACATATAATGAGCCGATGCAGCTTCCAAAACAAGTTCATCCACAGTACCCTAATGTAAGTTGCACAGAGCATATAACAAAAGCTGGCTACGTAACCTGGCTCAGTCAGGTGCTGCTGGAAGTATCATCACCTGCGGAAAGAGAGGTGGTCGTTGTGAAATGCACAAGTCTCGCAGTATCAAGGTCCACGGTTCGCTGCATGCGTCCCTTTTGGCTTACCACGAACACGGAACGCCCGAAACCAGTTTCACAGCTACATTTGGTCAGCAGCTTACTGATGCGAACGCCTTTCAGATGTTGACGAATATAAAAGGTGACGTGGGAATAACCAGAACAGCGTTCTCCTTTGCCTTTGAGCAAGGCGCTTCCGGCATGCCAATGCTGAAATAGAGATCTTCGATCCAGTGGAGCACAGTCCATCACAACTGCTTTAGTGCTTCGTACTATGATCCGTACGCCACGGCCGGCCGTTGGTGTACAGAGTACAGCTCGTCTTCCGAACTGCTGGACGATCGCACAATCCCTTCGTCTAGAGACGCCCGCGAAAAGACGCCCGACGATGTCGGCGACAGAAGCGGACGCTTGTCTTCGTCCTCGATTTCCTCTATGGTCTCGGGCAAGTGTTGGCCCCCGGTCTCTGGAAGTGCGAGCGCAGACAGTCCCGAGACGAGCATAATGACACCAAGGACGGTAAACTGCAGCCCGGGAATCAAGTTATCCTGCAAAAAGATCTCACTGAGGACACGTTTTCGTCGCATCACTACTAGCAAACATTAGCAAATGCCGCGCGGGACACCACATATGAATACATAGCGTTTTCCATTCTAGAAGGTCTGAACTTCAACTATTTCAGCTCAAGTTAAAATGAAACGGGATGAGCAATACACAGGCACTCATTAGAAAAACTGCAAAAAAGTGCATTGATTCTGTCTGGTGGACATGGATATACGTAGTATGTGCATGCAGGATAAAGGCACTCATTTGCAATAAGCGCTGATCTAAAATTTTCTTTCAATCGCCATTTTATCTCATGCTGTTTTAACTTAGGAACAACATCCTGATCAACCAAGACTTTGGGCGAGATCACAATTCAGGAGCATGAACTGAGGGCCCTGTCATGTCATAACTTTTTTCCCACAGTCTGTCGCTACTTCAAATCACCTTTCGTAACTTCAACAAATTTAACTTTGGTACTCAACGATTTGTGACAAAAGGTGTAAACATTAGGGCAGGGCTTTTTTCAAGGCTTGCAAACCAATTGGAGTGAAATTGTGATTTGTAAAGCGACTACAGCTGCAGCATTTGAGGATGCTGAAGGAAAACAAAGCTAAAGTGGTAAATTAGAGCTCCCATACCTTCACAGTAGCAGTTTTCATCAGAGCATGTTTTTCCACTATAGCGTAGTGGTTGCATACATGTGGACACATATGTATGCAACATATGTATCCACCACCACTGATTATACATATGTAATGACTGCATGCAAACAGTAAATTTTAGGTTCAAAGTGAATTCATAGCTATCAGTGATTAAGTCAAATAATATCAAATGAAATTCCAATAGTGTTTAGCACATTATAAATAAAAATGTGCATATTTGTCTTGACCCATCTAACCTGTGCATATTTTTTTTTTTATTAATACAAGGCAAGTGCAATTTTCAATCTTTTTGGTTTGAAGGAAAGTGGACAAAACTTTGAATAATAGCAGGATTTAATTTTCATTAGAATGAAATTGATAACCTGTAAAATGTGTCAAGTTTTGAAATTTACTATACTTGAAGCATACAAGCTCGTATAACAAGCTTTAAGTTAACAAAATGATGAATCGCTGAGAGGGTATCATGTTCGTTTAATCTTGAAGTGAGACTACGCGGCAGCACAAATTTTTCGTAGATAGGTGTATTCATGGTAGAGCACCCCTCCACTGCAGTGAAACCACTTTTACAGGAGGTTATAGGCAGTTCAGAATATACTATCCCTATTTGTTCATTTTGAACACATCAAAATTTTTGAATAAGTTATATTATTGTCAAAGTGATTTGGGATACTTTAATATTCGAACATGCCCAATATATATTGACTTTTTAAAAGCTTTGTTCTTGTAGCTGGCACACAGTCAAACTATGACAATAAAAAAGCAGCATCTAGGTGCCTGCTCTGATAATTACTGGTTACTAAATTATATTGATAATTAAAATTGATGATTACTAAAAACAGGATGCATGATACCTAGACTACGTCACATAAATGCGACTGCAAGCAAAGAAGTCACAATACAAGTGTCCATCACTACAGGCATAAGAACGTGCAGACACTCTTCAAAAATAAGAAGCGGGGGGGGGGGGGGGGGGGGAAATAAAGAAACACATTCGTGCAGTAACTATGTTTCTATTACTTACCAACAAGCTGACAAATGGAGAGATTATGCCACCAACCCTTGCAGCAACGGACACAATGCCCATTCCGACGTTCCTAAGTGAGGAAGAAAAACCAAATAAGAAGATCGTACTTTTCTGAACATCCTGAAAAAGATACTGGCGAAATTCGTCAGTCCAAGTCACTTCTAATCAAGCTGGGTGCTAATTCAGAATGTCAACAATAAAAGACTTCACTTCTGATCTGCTAGGCATGTCCTGAATGACAAACCTAGTACAACTAAGGTCATTGTGGATTTCACAGCACTTTCTTTTTCGCTTTACATCGCTTTAATGAAAAATAAAAAGCTGACAAAAGCTGCCCTGTTAAGTATCCCTTTGTTCCAAAGAAGATGCAATAATTTTCTTGCTAATAACCAGCAAGAAAGCATAGACTATAACTAGCTATGCATATAGCTAGACCCATTCAATTAGACCACAGGGATAATTATAGAAAAATATTAGTTGTAATTAAGGAAAAGCTACAGATTTGAAGCATCAGATCTGCAGTTGTGTAATATTGTGGCAAAAAAAAAGAAAAATAGATTATTTAAAATAGCGAAATCAGAACACGTAAACTAGTTTGCTACTGACTATGACAGTAACTTTCGAACAATGTGCAAATCATTTGATAGAAATGAAGAAATTGATACAAAATATTTTACCATACCCCCATTCATTTGTGGCACAGGTAGACTAGCATCAAATTTGGTCAAAAGCTAGTATTCGCGCAACAGTGGACACAGTGTGGGCAGTGGAGTGAAAACTCATGGCAGACTTGTACTGCATGTGTTAGAATATAATAAATGAACAATGTATGAAGAAAGCAGAAACGGTACATGAATTCAGCACCATGTTTCCACAGGGTTGCAATGAAACATACCAGCTCACTTGAAGCAAATTTAGCTTTTTGTGAGTGTTACTGCCAGTAGAGCATAAAAAATGTGTACCTGCACATACACACACATACAAATACACACACACAAACAACGAAAATCTTGTACAGAAACAAACATATGCCTAATGCTAGCCAGCAAGGCTTTAACAAAGTACATTTAGAAACTGCAGACAAGCCCTCTGCTTCAATGTGAATATGCTGTAGCACTTTTCGAAAACTTAGTAAGATATTGACACCTGATTTGTCAGTGTGTTTCCAATCCATTCAATTTTGAACTGCTTTATTCAACTAAAAAAATGACTAAGCTCTAGCGAATAAGCTCTAGCTTGCAGTGAAAAGTGGGCATGTTTATCCTTACCTGACAATGGTAGGCATGAGTTCGGCTGAATAGACGTAGATGATGGCAAAGGACATTGATATGCACATCTTGGCACTGAGCGAGACAATGTCACGCACTGCAGTGCTGTAGTGAACTGCGGGTGAGAAAAAAAAAGTTTTGTGTGCAAACAAATGCCACTTCAATTGAGGCCTTCAAAGCAAGTAACATGGTACAGGAAAGAAAAATGTGCAATTTGGGGCAAGACTACATAAAAATAAATATAACGCAACGTACAACTCTTTCGCAATGAAGCCATTACTGTTGTCATCACATTAATGATAATGTTATAAGGACACTTGCTCAACATCCTAAATGCAGGTTACATAAGTTAGAACATCACTCTACTTGTTTCTATCCGGATAGAGAGAGAATATATAGACCACTGGAGTACCCGAAGTTATTACCCACCCTCCTGCCACCTAAAGTTTATAGAAAAAGTTGTGTGGACCATGTCTCAGGGACAAAAATGAAAAAAAAAGGTAAAAGTTAGAAAAAAAGCATTTTTCGTTCACATCCAAGGTGGCTTCACAAGAGGTACTTGACAGCAGCTGGTAACTGTGGTCTTGCACAGCATGTAACGCAACGTAAAAGAGGCGTCTCGGTGTTAGGAGCATTTCCGCATGCTGACCATGAGACAAAACATGGCTCACACACATGCTGCACATCACTGTCTTATTCCCGATTATTTAGCACAGGTTATGAGCATGGCCAGCTTTCCAAAGTGTGAAAATATACACAGCCAAAGGAAACTCACAGTGATCAGAAAACTGGAGCGCAACGGACGCCACACTTCCAATTAGCATCACAGCAAACAGTGAGTGCCGCCTGCCGATATAACTGAGCAGCACTGCTGACAGCAGGTATCCCGGAATCTCGATGAAGCCCGACAGGGCTGTGCTCATGTAAAGGTCGCCGCCTACGCTGCTGGCAGCCATTGTGAGGGCATAGTAGGTGATGCCGTTCACTAACCTGAAGAATCAAAAGAGAAAACAAAGCAGCGACATTTATCAATTCACTAACCTCTTCACAGGAGACACCCACCCCTAGATGAAAGAATTCGCAAAACAGGGATTGTGTCCACTTCCTGCCGTTTTTTTGGACACCCACTCTGAGAGTAAACGTTAACCCTTATATGGGCTGGTTTTGCTGTTTTCTATAACCAGAGTACCTCATCCTCATTTTCTGATCACCCCATATTTCGATGTTGGCCACAGTGGTGCCACTTATAACCATCTGTCTCTTAGATCAGCGTCTCTCATAAAGGGGTCTAACTATATAAGTGAGTTCTACAAAGCAATCCGCTTACTTCACAAAGCCATGGTGCATGCCCTACCAAATTGGCAAAGGGCAGCATATAAAAATATAAGGTGCTGATCATATACAGTTTAAGGACAGGCATTATTACCTAATTATTACGCACTTAAAGGGGCCCTGCAATGCTTTTTCGCCTGTTTTCTACAGTGCTGGAATTTCTGCAGTGCTGAATACTGAAATCAAAGCAAGATGAATTATCAAAATTGGTACACGGTAACGGAAGTTATTCCCCTTCAGGTACAAATTATGATTCACTGCCTGCAAGTTAGTGAAATTCGCATGACTTGGTTCCAAGGCACTAAGTATTACATTTAAAGAAAGAAAATGAAAGACGGTGTTGACTTTTTGAGGTTGGATAATTAGTAATAATTACCATGTAATTAATTACCTCTTATAGTGCAATCACTCAGCTTCCATTTTTGTATTAAAAGGTATGTTATTAGGCCCAAAATGCATTATTAAATTTTTTAAATGCTACAATTCCTTTTTAGCACAAATAAAAATAAACTACTGACGTCTATCCTGTAACGTGGAACGGTCATCGAACATGGTATCGAACTTCTCCAGCAAAGTGACCCTGTGAAGCAATATGGCGCACAATAAAGTTACCGCTAGTTGTGCAACGGAGGAAGCCTCCACAAGTTTACAGGGGGGGGGGGGGGTCAAAAGTCAAAAGTTCCAAGGCGACGCTATAAGAATACATGGGATAGTGGCCTGAAAACTTTTGATCAGCCCTGTACATATTAAGTTTCAAGCTATTTGAGGAAACAGGCAGTGGACGAGGTGCCTCCGAAGTTGATGTGTACAATTGTACACAATGCTACTGAAGGGGTTATTAGCCACAAGACTTCAAAACCCCAGCAGATGAAGGAGAAAAAAAAAAAACATCCCCATTCGCATTTCACTTTCCCACTGACGTCTAAGGCTTTATCCAATCACCGCATGCCTCTTACAAAGACTTACCGGACGACTCGTCTCAGGCTGGCCATTGCGCAGCGTTCCTAGTGTTGTTTTACAATTGGATTCACATTTTCGTATTTAAAACCATAAATTCTTTTGTATGTGAGAAAGTATAAAGAGCGCTTTTATTCTTTTTAGAGCATGCTAGTGTGTCCTATCTGGGACCGTATGAATGATACGCGCGATTTGTCGTGACGAACCAATTAAAACGCCGCTCGGTCCATGTCGTTACTCCCACGTGGGGAAGCATCACTTCCGATGACAAAAATATTTACTGTTTAGTTCTACTGAAAAAGCACTCTAGCGTGGTTTCTCCGTAGAAATAAATTTTTAATGGCTTTGTTTTTGGGGTTGTTACTCAGGCAATGATATCGGTGCATTTCACAGTTTGAGAAGAAGCGATTGAAACAACACGCCTACTTTTGTGTCGCAGGGCCCCTTCAAGACAAATATCAAATACTACTAAGAAAACTCATGCCGGATGTGATTTTGTTTTTGAGGCTCAACTATAGGAAAATTTGACCGAACGTCCCAAGAAAATGTGTTGAGCAGGTGTGCGGAGTTAAACCAGAAAAAAACAGATTCATAAATGTTATAACCAGGTGATACAATGAAGTGGAGATATGTAATAGATATGTATAGAAAAGCACCTGACCTTATGCAATATACCAACACACAGAATGATAGATGCAAGAGGATTTAATCCTGCAGTGGATATTGAAGAGTGTACAACCTTGATGTCTCTAGTGCTGCGCCAAATTCTGTTTAATATGAGCAGTGAGAAGCTTAACATCGTTTTGTTAGGAATAGGCTGATAATGACAGCAACTCTGTGCACAATCCTACAGTGTGGAAATATGCCTATCCACATCATGACACAGTTAACACAAGACTACAAAGTGAATAGTGGTCATAACGGTTTTCATGGAATAGACTTAAGCATGGCATATCCAAGGAATGAGTTTATATATATTGTTTTGGGTGAGAGATGTTTATTGTACAGGCGGGATGATGGATGGTTGCAGAAGTCAGGCCTAGCACAGAACACATTCACTTCTTTTTCCTCTACACAACTTTAACGAATGTCCCGTATCATTTCCCCCGTTGCAGACAATGCCCACTAGGCGAGTTAGTCAGTGTCCCGTGTGGTATGGCTTCAATCGGGCGACATGTACGACGTCAGTTTTCCTGGAGCGATGGCCAGAAAATGTGAGGCATGATATCACGTACGTAACGTTGCTAAGGCGCGACAAAACGACGAAGGGGCCTGCATAGCGGGCCAGAAACTTTTGATACAAGCCACTTTTGCGATATGGAATCCACAGCCACACCATATCACCTTCGCTGTACGACACATGTCGATGTCACTTATCGTAGCGAGCTTTTGAACGGTCTTGGGCTGCGAAAGTCCGGAAACGCGCGATGCGCCATGCCTCCTCTGCGAGACAGAGTGTCTCTGCAAGGGATGGGTTTTTTTGCTCTGAAAACGAGAGAATTGTGTCGAGAGTAGTACGTGGTTCACGGATGTAGAGAAGGTAAAATGGGCTAAAGCCGGTGGTCTCTTGTAGCGCAGTGTTGTAGGCGTAGGTCATAAACGGTAAAACTTCGTCCCACTTTTTATGCTTGGAATCAACGTACATACGAGCATGTTAATGAGCGTCCTGTTAATATGCTCAGTTAAACTGTTGGTCTGTGGATTGTATGAAGTGGCGTGACGAAACTGGGCAACAGACCGGCGAATAAACTCTTCCACGACGTCGGCTACAAACTGCCGGCCACGGTCGCTGATGATGGCACGAAGGGGCCCATGCCGGAGGATGATGTAGCATAGCAGGAAGTCACAAACGTGATCGGCTGTTGTGGCAGAGATCACTGCGGTTTCAGCATACCGAGTGAGGAGGTCTACACAGACTATAATCCAATGGTTCCCAGTGATAGATCGTGGAAAACGGCCCATCAGGTCAATACCGACGACCTCAAAGGGAAAACATGGAGGCGGTATGGGATGGAGAAATCCTGGTGGTGCACTTGTTGGACTCTTGTACCGTTGACAACGCTCACAGCTGGTCACGTATTTAGCTGTAGCCTGACACATGCGGGGCCAGTAAAAGTGTTTCAGTGTGCGGTGATAGGTCATGGCAAACCCCATATGCCCAGATGTTGGATCGTCGTGCATAGCTTGCAGCCCGTTGGGGCACAATGATTTGGGGACAACCAAAAGCAGGCGGGCCTCCTTTGCAGCGAAATTTTGTTTGTAAAGAATGCCATCTTGCATGACTAATGGGCTCTGATGCGGCTTATCGACGGCAGATAAGAAAAAAGGAGCCAGACTACGGTCTTGATGTTGTTCTGTACGGAACGCTTCCTAATCTGAAAAACGTGAGTCAAGGGCGGCCAGACAGTCGTCTAAATTGTCGGCGTCGCATTCAGTCGTGGGAAGGGTAAGTCGCGATAGGCAGTCAGCGTACGTGTGACGGCGGCCACTCTTGAAGCAAACATTAAAGTCATATTGTTGCAAACGGAGCACCCATCATGCAAGACGACCGGTTGGATCTCGTAGACCAGTGAGCCAACAAAGTGAGTGGTGGTCTGTGACGATGGAGAATCGGCGGCCATAGATGTACGGGCGAAACTTGTGCACGGCGAAGACAGCCGCCAGACATTCTTGCTCTGTAACAGTGTAATTGAGCTCAGCTTTACTCAAAGAACGGCTCGCATAGGCAATGAGATGTTCAGCGGCGCCGTGATGCTGAACTAATACTGCACCGATACCGATTCCACTGGCGACACTGTAAACCTTACTTGGGGCTGATGCATCGAAATGACGAAGAATAGGCCCAGAAGTGAGTGGAAGCTTCAGTTGAGAAAAAAATGACTTGCACTTTTTCGTCCACTTGAAGGGTACGTCATTGTTGAGCAGATGAGTAAGAGGCTCAGCAACATTGGCGAAGCTAGGAACAAAGCGCCGGAAATGCGAACATAGGCCCAAGAAGCTTCGGAGTTCTCGTAGCGAGCGTGGTTAAGGGAAAGTGCTGACCGCGGTGTTTGTGGGGATCAGGCCGAACACCATGTTTGTTTACGAGATGGCCAAGAACTAGAGTTTGATGATCACCAAAATGGCACTTTTGGGAATTCAAGGTAAGTGCTGGTTTCTCAAGGCACGTAAGAACGACATCAAGTCGACTATTGTGTTCTTTAAACATGCGGCCAAAGATTACGTCATCAAGATAGCAAAGACATACTTCCCATTTCAAGCCACGGAGAACTGTGTCTATAAAGCGCTAAACGTGGCTGGAGCCTTACATAGACCAAATGTCATGACGTTAAATTCAAATAAACCATCTGGAGTTATAAAAGCTGTTTTTTCTTTATCGGCAGAGTGCATAAGAATTTGCCAATATCCAAATCTTAAGTCTACGGAAGAAAAGTACGGAGCAGAGTGCAAACAATCGATAACGTCGTCGATGCGAGGAAGCGGATATACGTCTTTTTTTTTTTGTAACCGAGTTGAGCCACCGGTAATCTACACAGAATCTCCAAGACCCATCCTTATTTTTTACAAGTATAACTGGTGCTGCCCAAGGGCTAGACGACTCTTGTATAACTTTTTTAGACAGCATTTCTTCCACCTGCTCAGCAATAACTTTACGCTCCAACAGAGCTACTCGGTATAGTCTCTGACGAATGGGATGGGCGGAACCAGTATCAATCGCATGACGAGTGCGTGAAAGTGGTGCAGAAATTCTGCGGCTATTGCGTGCGAAATCAAAAACGGATGCATGGTTTGAGAGGATCTGAACTAACGCTTGTCTCTTCTCTGGCGATAGCGACTTATTCACCATATCCATGAGTATGTCATCACTAGGACAAGCCACATCAGACACATTTTAATTTTCCTGTCGTTGCTAATGACAGCAATGTTAACGTTGCTCCTGACGTCGAATTCAAACACAGCCAGCCTCATTCCACCAGGCAGTACAATCGGCTCCAAAGAAGAGTTGACCACCCATACCAAGGCTTTGCCACTACTTGCAGAAATCACGCAATGCGGTATAACCACATCCTTCTTCACACAGCTTAGCTGGATTGGGTGAACTATAACGTCAACGTTATCTGCTGTGATACCACAAACATCAACAGGCACTTGAACTATCGACTGGGCTGGCAAAACTATGTCATCAACGACTGCGATAGTCTCTTGGCATCACGTGGGCTTTTCACAAAAACCAGCCAGTAAAACTTCGCCAGCTACGCAATCCACAGTGGCTCCCCATTCTTTCAGAAAGCATATCCCCAGGATAACGTCATGAGTAGAATTAGGAAGAACTACAAAATCTGCCTTAAACAATTTAGCGCCGAAAGTAACATTTGCAGTACAAACTCCCACTGGGCGCAACGGTTCTCCACTCACTGCACGAAACGTTGTCTGGCTTCCCCAAGAGAGCATCACTTTCTTGCCAAGACGAGTCTTAAAATTTCTGCTCATGACGGAAACAGTTGCTCCGGTGTCGACTAACGCGGACGTGGGGACACCAACCATAAGAACACTGACCCTATTTTGTAGCATGAAAACTGGCGGAGGCATATCTGTATACAGTCAAAATTTTCGGCGACCTCACCTCCATTGGTCGGCGCGTCTAGTTTCCCAGCGGAGGAGGAGAAGTGAGACGCCGACCACCTGTGATGGTGACCGATGCTGGCGGGAGGAGGCTGGTGGCGTCACACTCCGCACAGAAGCCGGCGAATCGCTGCGGAAGGTCTGTTGGAAGTCGGTTCGGTAGTAGCCGTTCGGTGGCCAGCGATAGTCTCTCCGAGTACTTGCACGCCATGAGGATGCCGGGGGTCGTTGATACGGCGGCAGAGGTGACAGATGCCGCTCTGAGCAGAAGCGGGCTATATGTCCACGAACGCCGCAGTAAAAGCACACAGGTGCTTCATGCCCCACTCGCTGCTGAAGATGGTCAGCAGGATAATCTTGCCACGCTGCCCTATCGGGGGGTGACCTTTGCACGGAGTCATTTCGTGGATCAGACATCAGACGACGCGACTGTACCGGCGTTCTTGAGTCGACGAAGCCCACAGCGTTGATGGACGCAGGCGGGGGGCGTAAAAGAACCATGGCGATGTGCTATCGACGGTGCAGCAGCGTCCCGCCGATTCTTCGCGCACTATTTCTCGTATTGTCGACGCCAGATTCCTGTGTGGAGGGACTACGTCGATGCTTGCGACCGTTGTGACGTTGGGGAGTCTACCAAACTTTGCCGAAATGCGCCGAGCTTTAAGGGCCTCAAATGTTTGGCAATGTCGGATGATGGCATTGGCCGACTGCAAGTCATCCTTTCCTATAAGGTAGTGATAGATATCCTCCGCAATGCCCTTAAGAAGATGCCCGACCTTATCCTCATCAGTCATTAGTGGGTCCACACTCTTGCAAAGCTTGAGAACTTCTTCAATATACATCGTACATGTCTCCCCAGGGACTAGAGCACGTTGGCTCAGGGTCTGCTTCTTTATCATGGTCGGATCTCCAAAACACTTCTTGATTTCGTCCACAAAATTCGCCCACGTAGTCAAATTCTCTTTATGGTTCTCGTACCACATCAACGCGGTTCACTCAAGAAAAAGTGGTACGTAGTTGCGCTGGTCGGTAGTGTCCCAGTGGTTATACAGACTCACCCGCCGATAGTGCTTGAGCCATTCATCGAAGGTAGTGATAGATATCCTCCGCAATGCCCCTAAGAAGATGCCTGACCTTATCCTCATCAGTCATTAGTGGGTCCACGCTCTTGCAAAGCTTGAGAACTTCAATATACATCGTACATGTCTCCCCAGGGACTTGAGCACGTTGGCTCAGGGTCTGCTTCTTTATCATGGTCGGATCTCCAAAACACTTCTTGATTTCGTCCACAAAATTCGCCCACGTAGTCAAATTCTCCTCATGATTCTCATACCACAACAACGCGGTTCACTCAAGAAAAAGTGGTACGTAGTTGCGCTGGTCGGTAGTGTTACAGTGGTTATACAGACTCACCCGCCGATAGTGCTTGAGCCAATCATCGACGTCCTCTTCAGGTTTCCCAGAGAATGGGTGCGGTTCCCTGTAATGGTGTCCATAGGTGTTAGGTGCAGCTAGTTGGATTTCACCATCAGGGTTCATGATGACTGGTAGCAGAGGAAGTCCTGCGAGTCTGCGGCTCCGGCGAAGCTCCAGGGATGCGCCTTCCGCCGTACTTGTCCGGTGCCTCAAGGCGTTACCCAGCACTCTCCACGAATTATGTTACGGGTGAGAGCTCTTTATTGTACAGGCGGGTTGATGGATGGTTGCAGAAGTCAGGCCTGGCACAGAACACATTTACTTCTTTTTCCTCTACCCCACTTCAACGAAAGTCTTGTATCAATATATATATATATATATATATATATATATATATATATAGTTTCTTCGTATTTTGACACAATATTAATGAGATCTAACAGACAATAGTGCCAAGGAAAGTATAGGGGAAGTTATTAGACCGAATTGTAATCTAATTGTGAAGAAAGAAAAGTGGGTGAAAAGATAACTTGCCGTGGGCAGGAACCGAACCTGCGACCTTCGAATAACGCGTTCGATGCTCTACCACTGAGCTACCGTGCGGCTATCCTCCCAGCCACTTTATTGGGTATATATATATGTGAATTTAAACGTGGGAGTGTCAGTCAGCGCCATCAGTAGCCATGGCAGCGAGTGTGGCACACTCTTTATGAGCCTGTGTGGCGTCACGTAGCACGTGAACTTATTACCAGCTGGCAGTTGACCAATAGTCCCTCGTATACTACCTTAAGGCACCAAGTCTGCCAGTACGAGATCCTCGTAGTGAATAAGGGAAAGAAGTGTATACTTAAGGGCTCGTTTCTTCGTGTTTTGACACAATATTAATGAGATCCAACAGACAATAATGCCAAGGAAAGTATAGGAGAAGTTTATATATATATATATATATATATATATATATATATATATATATATATATATATATATATATATATATATATATATATATATATATATATATATATATATATATATATATATATATGTACACACACACACGCACACACATGTATATCACACCACTGTTTTAGGAGCAAACAGTGCATCGACTGGTTTAATACCTACAAGGATACCAGTAGGCAAACTATGGGTAACTCATTTAACAATCTTAAAATTAAAAGCACCGTATACATACCCATTTTTAATGTGAATTACGACCATTAAATTAAGACCCTCTTATGCTAGGTATTGTCGCGAGAGAAAATGACAATAAGGGACGACACGGTGCGAATAGTGGTTTACTTTTCCAGCCACACCAGCCACCAACTTCTTCCTTCTCAGTCTCTACCATGACTAGCGCGTGGCAATATTAAACAGAAGTCCTGATGACTGCCTTCCAGCTGCTTAACTTAGCACCCATCGTAATGCTTTTAAATCCTTTGTTACAATCTAGGTAGCTCCAATAGACCTCTCATTTTATAAATATATTTTTGACAATAAGAACCTAAAATTATCTTCGGAGAGCTGTTTCAAGTCCGAAGGCATCTCCAGATTTATTTTTTTCATTACTGTGTGATAGAGTTGAATGGTAGTATTAGATAACTATGCAAAATCACTGACCTAGAAAATGTATGAAACTCCTGGGTAACAGACCAGGGTAGTGTGCAGTACAGTTCAAATATTCACTGAGGGATATATTACCTAGCAAATGTAACATAGGAAACGAGCAGGTCAAGAATAAGGAAGAAAAGAACGAAGGCACCTGACCAAGCATCTCAATTGTCACTAAAACTTTTAAGTGCTCAGAAAAAACAATTTTCATTGAAAAGCAGCTGACCCACACTAACACTTCACGAGTTGGTGTGCCCATGACTACGCTTATATAAGCAGCATAATTAGAACACACAGGTTGCGGCCTGGAAACACTATTTCTAGAATACGAGATGTAATGAAAACTTACTTTTCTCTTGAATAGCCCCCTAACTCTTGTAGTAACTACATCAAGAAATTAACCTTTTAACATTCTGTCATGCTGCCGTCCTGTCAAAACCACAGGATTGCAGACTTTTCAAGTTGTTTAACGATGGCTTTTGTTCTACATGCCACCCATGTCTACGTAAATGTATACAATAGTAAACAAATTATTTACGTTTAACCATCTATGGTCATGATCTTCTTTTATATGTGCACTGCACTAAAGCCGATACTGAAATTTTCAAGCTTCTTACTCTATTAATAAAATTTATAGAGAGTACAATTACCACTAGTCCCCGTGTTTTACACTTACAAACATTCGCCTGCCAAGCAGACCTGAATAACTAGGAGTCATTCACATCTACAAAGTCTTACAAAATTGAACTTAGTCACGAATAATTGCAGGATGTCAAAACAACGTACCAAAGAAGGATTTGAATGAGGGTTCGAAGGCGCAAGGTGGAGCTGGTGAACAGTGCCATCGGGTTAGTTCCCTTGTGGTGCACTTTCGGCTCCTGTAGGTCCCAGGTACGCGGCAGGCAATGCGCTCGGCCATTGCGCACTGCTATGTCCAGAAGGACTTGCCGTGCCTGTGGTCGCTGACCGTGCAGAAGTAACCAGCGAGGGCTTTCGGGCAGAAGCCTGCGCAACAAAACGTGGTTCTTTTGAGCAAGCCCAATACCCCTGTCACACGGCAACCACTACACTCCATTTACCTCAGTTCAACATTCAACTCCCTAATAGAGCTTTACGAGAATGGAGTTGTGGCCATGCTACAAGACTTAGCACAAGCTTTCGACCAGAGCTGCAAAGGGCAAAAACAATGCTCCTGCGCTTATCGAAACATCCCATCTTTCACTTATGTAGTCGTCTTTAAAGCAAAGTCACACGTCTCTCTCTTTCTTTTTTTTTTTTTGCACACTGTGGACCTTTCTTTTTTTACACTTTGTTTGTACACTGTGCACGTGCATGCATCTCGCACGTATATAAACAAACAATACAACACCCCCCTTGCTCGTGGCGGCTTAGCAAAGCGTTGAGTGTAGAGGGTACAGACACTGATATCCTCAAAACTAGTATTGAAACTTGCACTACACGGTGTGCAATACTACACCAAACAAAAGTATAACTTTAAAATCTATAATCAAAATCCCTAAGACTATTTTGTCAGCACTATTTTCTTCATAGCGGTAGCTATGTGGCAATGACAGTACTCTATTGTGCCCAAGTTATCATTAACGAACTCTATCGAGCCCATGTGGTCGTTAGCAAACTCCCTTTTCAAACCGCTAGATTTAACTTCCATAGTGAAATGGAGGCCACGTGACATGAACTGCATCTCCCTCGAAGAAAAGTTGAAGTACTTAAACAGAGTTCCGTGGAGGCCCCTTCTTGACACTCAAATAGCCAGAGTTCTATCCTAACTCAGAGCCAGATATTTTTATTATTTTTGTGGCATATTTCTCGATTTTTCGGTCACAGACAAGACAATGTTTTATTCACAACCAACGATGCGAACGACGCCACCGGAATTTCTGCGGAACGAGCCCTTTACCACTATCGTGTTGAAACACGCTTATCACATCATGAGGAAGCATTCCCTAGTGAGCTAATCCTCCTAATCCACCGTTGTACTGGCCTCACGTGTGCCGAAACAGCTGTCATGCGGAGCGAATGCAAGTTGCAACCTTGACACTTGCTGTAGATTTCTGTTCTAATGATAAGTGTCTGCAAGAATTGTCCGATAAAGAAAGGTGCTTGGACGAGGAGAACTGCTGAACAAAATAATTACTATCCCGCTGGATAAGCCAGGAGAACTACTGCACAAGACCGAATACATTTTAAGTGTGAAAGGTAGAGCACATACGTCAGGTTTTCCTACTTGAAATGGCATTTTACCCTGAAATGAACGCTGTAGAAATACCACACATCAGCGATTTCTTTCTGATGTACGCAGTTAGAGATTTCTCTCCGGTGTAGGCACATGAGGAAGGACCCACCTACTTGAGTAGAATAATTAATATTCAGCACTTAATTTTGCTAAAATGAGCTGAAATTGTATTTTATGTATGCTTAATTTTTAATTTCTATACGGCCTCTATGCCGAGTGAACTCTCACAGTTGTAGTTTCTACGTGCACCCATGCAGCAGCTCTCACTGTTAGTTTTTATCGTAAAAGTTTTCGTATCACGGAGGAGACAAGTTGTCAGTTAAACATTATGGCAAGAAGACTGAAAAGGACAACGCACCTTGCTTTTAATGGTGACCTTGGACATTCTTTGTGAACAAAATGTGCTCCAGAAAAAAGCATCTTGAACAAGTTGGTTCTGTTTTAATCAAGTAGAATTTTTAATCAAGTAAAACTGAAGTAATGCAAAACAGTGTAATGATAAATAAAGGGTGAAACATGCATGCTACACATTTTTTTCATTCATTTAAATACAGAACAATTTATTTACTTTTTAGCATATTATTACCTTCCCAGTGGTGACTGTTCTTTACTTGTCGACATGATTAAAAGTTTTTCCTGAACTGTTGTTCGTGCCCTCGCCAATGTTTCTGCAGCTGTCTGTTCCTGTTCCCTATCAAATATGTATTCCTCTGTTAATAAAGATGAGCTCTGTCCGGTATGAAGAACCAAAGCTCAGCAATGGCGAAAGCTACATATACCCGACCATTTGTAGGTACAGTAGTGGACTAGCCATATTGACTTAGTTGTCCTTCAGTTATCATTTTTACACTGCATCAGACACACCTTCACTACAACAGAACCTTGCTTCAACTAACTTCAGAGAATAAAGCCCGTAAGTGTGTGTTTAAACTACGGTATTTGTGTCATACCATAAAAGCTGTGCCGGATCAACAACTATGAACAAGAAGTTGCATAGTTCATTTTCATGTGCACCTGTCAAGTTTCAACCGATGCCTTGAAGTACATACAGAATTAAATGCCAGATTTCATGTGTCAAAACAAAGGTATCCCAGTAAAAAAAAAGAACATTCACACTAACTGGGGATTGCAGTTGGTCTCAATTGGCACCAGCTGGTGGGACCCATTATCCAATGGGTTTGAATAGGATGCCCTGAAATGTCTAATCGGAATGCTAGCCCAGTGGCTTTGCTCCTACAAGTTCTCCAACTTAGTAAAAAAGAAAGGTCACTTGGTCAAACTAGCCATATCAATCGCCAACAATAGGATGGGCTAAAACCGATTAGAACTTTAAACTTCAATGGAATAGCCCAACTTGATTGATAGTTCCAAATGGTTACGACCGTTGCTACAAATTTTTCATTTGGCCAACCTATTAGAATATAGGATCATCCAATCGGGGTCAATCCATATTCAAAGATTGCTTTTCTGATTGGAATGTTTGGATATCATTATATACTCTATGTGATATTAGGCATTTTAACTAACATTGTTATATATGGGATCAATTAAAGATTGTTGTAGGTTCAATTGATGATCTATATAGCACAGTTCCCAGTGGGCCTCATTACATACATTTTTTATATTATTTATATTTAATATCCAGTCGAGAAAAATGCACTGGTTTTCAGGTTGATTAAATGATTAGTCGAGGGTCTGATAGTAAAATTCATAAATGAAAATGGTCTACGGACCATACACGAGATATGATTTTAATAAGAATTCAACCATTTGATTCCAATTGCACATTAATGTTATGCCCCTTGGTTTCATTGGACATCACAGAAATGAGTAAAGCTGTGAAACAAGAAACTAGTTCATAGAAACATGCTTGCAATTACACTATTACTTATATAATAAAATATATTTGCACTTTATATTGTCTACAAGGTATTTCATTTATTTCATCTGTTCATTTTACAGTTGGCCACAAAAGTTACTCAATTTTTCTTGGGACCTGGCACAACTTACTGGGCTGAAATTGCTGGCATGTTGAGCGAAGTTGTGTTTAGAAAGATGAACATGATGCACGTGGAGAAATTTTTCATTTCACGTTTGTCCACAGGTAGCCTTCACTAATGCTAAGTTCATGCAATACAACCACATAGATTCTTAATTTTCATGCACCTCCAATGAGATTAACAAGTCAGCCTCTTAATTTAGAGCTACACGGTGTTCCCGATTGGAGAAATTGGCCTGGCCAATTAACCTAATAGTTAAAACCATTTTGATTATGTTTATGCCATCAATTGTTTAAGTTGCTTACACCTTTTAACACAATTGAGAACTGCAATTAGAACTATATGCTGTTTCCAATGGGTGAACTGGGTTTACCTGCTAATAAAATTGGTCAAGCCATTTGGATATTGATTGTTACCAACTGGTGATGTTGGTCAGGCCTGTTAAAACTAAATGGGGTGACCCATTGAACCCACTGGAATTTTCCAATAGGTGTCCCAAAACACAATTGGAATATTTTAACAAGTTTCAACTGGACATGCCAACTGTTTTTTTTTACTGAGATGACTAAGAGACATGCGGCAGGGATTAATCTTGATTAGCTGGAATGCCTTAATTAACACCGCGTCTGAAAATGTGAATGCTTTTCGGACTTTGATTTAGATGAAATGCATACACGGTGGCAAGGAATTGAATTCGCACCTATGTGCCTTGCAGCCAAGCCCCTTAGCAGTTCATTGCCACGACAATGACAGACATGCAGAAAAGGAAGTGAAAACAACTCACAGGGCAAGTGGTATGAAGAGAGCACTCAGGGCAGCTGTCGCAATAGTGTAGTGGCGCCAGTCCGGAATGAAATAGGCAAGTGCAGCGTGCAGTCCAATGCCCAAAGCAAACACACCCGGGAACAGCATGCCCATTAGTGCCCGCTTAGATGGACCCACAAGCTCGGTCATCAGCACAAACGTAATGAGTGCCACGGCTGCCGTGGTCATGCCGGCAAAGAAGCGACAGGTCGCATGTAGGGCCAGGCTCGGGGCGAAGGCCCCGAAGAAAGTTATGACCGAAATGCCTATGGCTGCAGATGGTAGTGTGCGCCGCCGTCCAAACTTGTCGGAGATGTAGCCAAACACAAAGGCACCAGTCATAACGCCGGCCATGAAGACGGCTTGCACCATCTTCACCAAGTATTCATCATGACAGACGAGATTCCACTGGAAGAACATAAATGGAGCTTGTTAATAAGCGTGTTGGCGATGTCCCACTTTGTAAAGCTAATAAAATTAATGGTGAGCGTAATTTAATAAAAAACTGGATGTGAGCATGCATAGGGTTTGTCACAGTGCTCTCCATTAAATTGAAGAATTGGGCAGACTTTGTATCCCCCTCTTGTGTGACAAAAGCCCCACCCCTTCCCCTGGTGCGCCCACCTATGAGTGTGGGATCATTGCGCACAATTTTTGAGGCGACAACCCTTGCGCACATAAATGCTGCACCAAAGTGGTGTACTTAAATCCATCAGAAAAAACAAAACATGTCACAGAAACAAACAATCATTTTGTACATGATACAAAGATTTAAGTTTACATATCTTTTATTAATTAACACTAAATGGTCACAATACCGCAGGTTTGCAAACTAGAAATCGGTAACAAACCGATCTGCTGCTTTATTTTTTTTTAATGACGCTGCGCAGATTAGCAAAAGTTCTGAACATGTGAGAAATTGAAACCACTGAATTTCGGTAGCCCCGCCGCGGTGGTCTAGTGGCTAAGCTACTCGGCTGCTGACCCGCAGGTCGCGGGATCGAATCCCGGCTGCGGCGGCTGCATTTCCGATGGAGGCGGAAATGTTGTAGGCCCGTGTGCTCAGATTTGGGCGCACGTTAAACAACCCCAGGTGGTCAAAATTTCCGGGGCCCTCCACTCCGGCGTCCCTCATAATCATATGGTGGTTTTGGGACGTTAAACCCCACCTATCAATAATTAATCCAATTTTGGTAGCTCAGAAACGAACGCATGGCCCATAGGCAAGAAACCAAATAAATAGGTTCATAAGTGAACTGAAAGTTCAATTTCACTTATCACAAGTAAGTCAACGTGTGCAGCGCATCGAGCTGGCTTACCTCGGTGGCTATAGACGTGAACCTGGACGTGTAGTGCGGGTACTCGCATCGGTTGTCCGTGTCACAGCCCGCCGTTGAAGGTGTCGAGCCATTCCAGCACTGAAACTCGGGCGTCGCACCGGTGAACACAATTTGCAGCATCTCTCCGCTCACAAACAAACCGCCGAGGATAGCCGTGTAAATGAAGTAGAGAATCTGTTGTGGCCCAACCTCGCCAACGAGGTGGAAAACTTGGTCGACATCCATTGTAAGGTCGTGGAATGCACAACGCGATATTTTCGGAGCCGACAACACTCAAACGCAGCCGGTGAAAACGGGCGAAAAAAAAACGTTTTCCAACTACCACGTCGTCACTGCAATGCCATTCATTTGCAACGGCTCACACCACACCTTTGGTTGCTCCCGTATTGTGTCAGAACGTAACGTCGCACCTGTAGCGCGAGATCTGTCAACACGAGAAACCTAGCCGGCACCTTCTGATACAAGATAGCTCGACCGTCGAGTGCATGCGTGCTCAAGCAAGGTGAGGCTCTCAGCAGCAACGATAAAGCAACGTACTACTCGCCGTGCTCGATTTCAAATGTACCGTGAACCGTCGTAAGCACGAGGACAACGCTAAGCACACGTTGTGCACGCGATGCGCTCTTGCAGCGGAGAGTAGACGGGCTCACAATACACACTCCAACTACGAAGATTTGAGCAGCGGCCAACTCCACAGCTGCTCGGCATGGACTCGCTGGTTAACGCGGTCAGTTGCGAAACTAGCGCGCGCGCTGTTGTCGGCGTCACAGCGCCCTTCCGCTTTCTCTGGAAAGGGCGCTCGTGCCGCTTGCGATATCTGGCTGCAGTTGCTGATAGCGGCTGATTTCTGCGGCTGCGCGGAGTCACACATTCGGCAGAATGACAAGTTGGACGGCGCTCGAAATGTTATCTGGACGAACGAGCTTGCTCATGATTAGATATGCAGCCAGAAAGAATCAGCGAACTGATTTTTAGCGTGTTTGTTTGCCCCGGCACGTGTGCGGGGGAAATCCGGGTTTATCGCCTCTGGGCACTGTGGGTCAAATGTGTTCGTGTCTGCAAAGTTACGAAAGCGTTAGGTGAACTCCTTCACGTATTTCAAAAGCACGGGTGTCTCTCTCTACTTACCTGTGCGGTTAATGATAAAAGTTTTACGGGTGTGGTGGTGTCCTGGACAAAGACAAAACATCTACATAATGTGCACATGACTCAGAGCCCTGGGAAAAAAAAAAGAGTTTTGCCATAAATTTGGCAGCTTTATTTGTAAATATAACCTTCATTTTGCTCTTAAATGCGAAGCATTTCATAGTGAACTTCGGCGACTTTGGCGGTGTCTACGCTGCATATGACTTAGCTCTCCTGGCCGTTTCGATAATATGATCTATACCGAAATTGGCATGGTATAGCATGACTGTATGACGAGCATAAGTCACTAATCATAAACATAAAAATCATGGCATGCGTATCATAAATGTCATGATTTACATGTCATGGTCTTGCATGCTTTTGCGGTGGTTTCGTTCACATGACATATTGCAAAACTTGTATGGTATGACATGACTGCATGGCGAACGTAAGTGAGAGAGGTCTTAACGCGGAAATCATGGCATGCGTGTAATGTTAGTCATGAATTACATGAGCGCACTATGAGCTCATGGTGCGCTCGCAGCCGTTTCACTAGCTTCACATATACCAAATTTGGTATTACGTGACGTGAATAGATGACGAAGGTATGACTGGTGCAAACATGATAATTATATAGTATGTGAGTCATGTAATGTGTCATGTAAGAACATGACTACATGCCACGATCATGATGCACTCGTGATCGTTTTGCTAGCGTCACACACAGCAAATTTGGTATTACGTGACGCAAACGGGCGACGAAATTATATGACTGGTGCAAACATTATACTCATGACATGCGTGTTATGTAAAACATGTCTACATGCTACGCTTATAGTGTGCTGGAAGCCATTTCGCTAGCTTGACATATCCCGAATTTAGTGATACGTGGCAGGAATGGATGACGAAGGTATATGACGGGAGTAAACATGATAAGCATCACATGCGTGCTATGTAAGAACATGACTACATGCCACGCTCATGATGCGCTCGCAGCTGTTTCGCTTGCTTAACATATACCAAACTCGGTATGTGACATGAATGAACGACGACCACAAATGCAAGGCATAACCATGATAATCACGACATACTGGAAATCATGTACAGCGTGATTGACGTCTGCCTCAATTGTAATGTTGAGCTGATTTTAAAGGGACATATCAACCTTCCTTATTCGTGCTTCGCATATCATCGATTCCCATTGTACGTAGGATCTGCAAATTTTTTTCTTTGTATTTTTTTCTTTCTGTCTGTATTTCTTTTTTTATATATACTGTTCTGTCTCTCTTGTTGTTTATCTCCCCCTCCCTCTCTCTGATTCTCGCTTTCTCTTTCTATCTCTCCATTTTTTCTCTGTGCTTCATTTTCTGCCCTACTCCTCAACCTTATATATCTCCTCTTCACCCTCACTTTCCTTTTCCCTTCCCCACTCCCTTGCTAAACTATATCACACAAAGCTACGTCACGCGCTGCCAGCGTGTGTGAGTGGGCGATTGGTTAAGCTACCCGCTTTCGAATCATGTGTACGCGGGGTCGAATCTCTCTTCGTGGAAAATTTTTTATATTGCCAAGAATTTATCTCTATCTCTATCGTTCTCACTTTACTCGTTCTCTCGCCCATCCGAACAAGTGCCAGTCCCAGTTGCTGTATCCCACGCCGGAAAATATGACGCAGGGGGCCTCTCTCCCTCCCTCTCTCTCTACTTTATCCAAGCTATTGTTGTCCATAGAGATGACTATGCTTTTGTCTGGTCCGTCTTTCCTTGTCGCCCCCCCCCCCCTGGCATTGGGTTATACATGCATAAAAGAACATCGTTTCCTTTACTGCAATTCATTTTTAGCTGTGAATCGAACAGCCAGAAAATTAGAAGGACGATTCACCTTCTCCTCCTTCCTTTAAGTATACCTTATAAGTAAACATCCGTATTACTTTCCTTTATAAAAACACTTACAGGACTAATAGTGCTTTATTTCAATGTTATCGCCGATATTTAAAGCAAAGAATACGTTTGAAGATTACATTTCGTCAACATTGACATAACTCAGCAGCCATTTTCTAACTTGCGGTATCTCCAGTAGGTTTCCGTTCTGCAAGATTCGTACTTGAAATTTTGGAAACTTAATCAGCTGGCAAGCATCGATCAGTTCACTGTTAAAATTGCATAATTTACCTACCGAACAGTGACTTTTCTAATGTACATTTTATAATGACTATTTCATCTAGAATTGAGCTATCGCCTAGCTTTATTTCATTTCTACATAATTTTCTGCTCTTGTGCTTACACTATAGCATGATGAGCTTCACCCCGGTTTATTGAAGCCACTTGTGCACACTTCTGTATTTTTAGCCAAAACCCATCATCAGTCGTTCAGCTTAGTGGCTAAGGTGCTGCTAAGCCTCAGGACGTGGGTTCGATTCCTGGCCTCTGTGGTCGCAGAATTAGGGTCGCAGTGAAAGTATATATAGCAGCAGATAACATCGCGTGTTCCTTTTAACACGAAAGTGATTTATGCCGGTATTCCCACGGCTCCACTGACGTAATTCCGTGACGGATATGACGTCGTAATGTATATATTACAAGATTGCGAACAAAAAAGCAATATGCAAAGGTCGCTGTGGGGAGTTAAACCAGCGAAATAAACAATTGTATCGGGCCAGTTGGTAAGGATCCATCTTGCTAGGAAGCGCAGCCACTATTACAAAGAACACACAACACAAGCGCTTGTGTTGTGTGTTCTTTGTAATAGTGGCTGCGCTTCCTAGCAAGATGGTTTAAACCAGCGACCTCACGAACCACAGCGCGCGGCGCTAACCACTATCCAAAATGCCATGTAGTGAGGATAGCTAATGGTAAGCCATTTATATACACTATATACCATTTGGGGGTCCTCAGAGCTTTGCAGCTTCAGCGTGTTTCCGTCATTTGTGGCGAGATGGCGTGACGAGTACCGTTAGGCCCGCTCTAAAGGTCGTCGCCTCTCGCGTTTTGGAGAGCGACGCCTCCACGGAGCGTGGTCCTGCCTGCGCGAGCTCTAACCAGTCTCGTAAATCTGGAAAGCACCAAGTTCACTTCGCTCGCTGCCGCGGCCGCATTCACCAAAAGAGCACGATACTAACATACTACGAAGTAAGAATTGTGTCAGTTGCTCGCGCTTGTCCTGTGTATACACATGCGTCCGTTTTGTGCTCCTTTTTTTTCCGTTCATACGGCGCTCATTATGTGAAGCTGTGACAGTTATTAGTCTACGTTGTTCCTCCTTTTTTTTCCGTTCATACGGCGCTCATTATGTGAAGCTGTGACAGTTATTAGTCTACGTTGTTCCTGTGTATGCTCATTTCGTGCGTGCTTTCTTCTGCTTGAGTGACGTTTGACATTCGTGTTTTACCGATTCCTAGAAAAAGGGATCATTCACTTTATCTTGTTATGTGAGGTCGCAGAGGTCGGAAGCCTCCGTGCAAGGCCTTAACTGCCTGCAATCGTAACGGCCCGGTCAGTCAGTCGCTTATGGCTGTGTACGCGAAAGAGTGGCTTCCTACTGGCACTGGTCGGGTATGCAAGGTTGGCAAGGTGTGGTTTGAAGCATTCACCACGCGAAAAGGTACAAGCTTGAGTGTTCTCCGCGTGAAGTACATCGGCCGTGGTACTGTGTTGATTTAGAGGTGTGGCAGATCAGTGCAAGGGTTGGGGAACGTTATGTAGTGGTTTGGCGCCTGTGTCAAGCAGCATCAGCGGCACAGATTAGCTTTGCGTGTGGTGGTGGGAAGGTTTTCAAGGTTAGTTTGTAATGTGAGCCAGTACCAACTGTCCCAACTTACCATGATTGTACGTTACTGGCACATGCCCAATACAGCTAGAGGATTGGCAGATGGTCTGTAACGCTGCATACAGTACGTTTATGCATAGTTTTTCACATCGACAGGGTTGAGCTGTCCTTCCACCAGAAGAATAATTTCTGGACACGAGCGCACCCAATGCCATAAAGAGACTTGCATTCCCGCGTGTACAAAAAAGGTGGATTAGTGGTACATTTTGGTTTTGGCGGTGGATCTTATGAGCAGTGTGAGAGATACGGGCTTGTGCGTGGTTCCGAGATACATATCCGTATTCAAGTGCCAGTTATAGACACCGCCGCAGGTCGAAGTTAATCCGCAGCCCCGAACACGGCTTGCTTCATATTAATACCGTGGTTCAGACACGTATAGACCACATTTTTATTTTTATTATGACCTCATTATTTTTTCTAATTTTTGTAAAACCCCTGTAACGCTATGGGCCATCGACAAAGAACAAGAGCATTCTGGACTATTCCATATATATATATATATATATATATATATATATATATATATATATATATATATATATATATATATATATATATATATATATATATATATATATATATAAGGGAAAGAAGTGTATACCTAAGGGCTCGTTTTTCCGTGTTTTTGACACAATATTAATGAGATTTACCGACAGTAATGCCAAGGAATGTACAGGGGAAGTTATTAGAACAAATGGAATGTAAATAAGAAGAAAGAAAAGTGGGTGAAAAATAACCAGCCGTGAGCAGGAATCGAACCTACGACCTTCGAATAACGCGTTCGATGCTCTAACCAGTGAGCTACCA